TCACCTCCTCACTCACCTGCTCACTCACCTCCTCACTCACCTCCTCACTCACCTGCTCACTCACCTCCTCACTCACCTCCTCACTCACCTCCTCACTCACCTGCTCACTCACCTCCTCACTCACCTGCTCACTCACCTCCTCACTCACCTCCTCACTCACCTGCTCACTCACCTCCTCACTCACCTCCTCACTCACCTGCTCACTCACCTCCTCACTCACCTCCTCACTCACCTCCTCACTCACCTGCTCACTCACCTCCTCACTCACCTCCTCACTCACCTGCTCACTCACCTCCTCACTCACCTGCTCACTCACCTGCTCACTCACCTCCTCACTCACCTGCTCACTCACCTCCTCACTCACCTGCTCACTCACCTCACTCATCTCCTCACTCACCTGCTCACTCACCTCACTCATCTCCTCACTCACCTGCTCACTCACCTCACTCATCTCCTCACTCATCTCCTCACTCACCTGCTCACTCACCTGCTCACTCACCTCACTCACCTCCTCACTCATCTCCTCACTCACCTGCTCACTCACCTCACTCATCTCCTCACTCACCTGCTCACTCACCTGCTCACTCACCTCACTCATCTCCTCACTCACCTGCTCACTCACCTCACTCATCTCCTCACTCATCTCCTCACTCACCTGCTCACTCACCTCACTCATCTCCTCACTCACCTGCTCACTCACCTCACTCATCTCCTCACTCACCTGCTCACTCACCTCACTCACCTCCTCACTCATCTCCTCACTCACCTGCTCACTCACCTCATTCATCTCCTCACTCACCTGCTCACTCACCTCACTCATCTCCTCACTCACCTCACTCATCTCCTCACTCACCTGCTCACTCACCTGCTCACTCACCTCACTCATCTCCTCACTCACCTGCTCACTCACCTCACTCATCTCCTCACTCACCTGCTCACTCACCTGCTCACTCACCTCACTCACCTTCTTATTCACCTCCTCACTCACCTGCTCACTCACCTCACTCACCTTCTTATTCACCTGCTCACTCACGTCCTCACTCACCTCCTCACTCACCTCCTCACTCACCTGCTCACTCATCTCCTCACTCACCTCCTCACTCACCTGCTCACTCACCTCACTCACCTTCGTATTCACCTCCTCATTCACCTCCTCACTCACCTGCTCACTCACCTCACTCACCTTCTTATTCACCTGCTCACTCACCTCCTCACTCACCTGCTCACTCACCTTCTCACTCACCTCCTCACTTACCTGCTCACTCACCTCCTCACTCACCTCCTCACTCACCTGCTCACTCATCTCCTCACTCACCTCCTCACTCACCTGCTCACTCACCTCATCACTCACCTGCTCACTCACCTCCTCACTCACCTGCTCACTCACCTCCTCACTCACCTGCTCACTCATCTCCTCACTCACCTCCTCACTCACCTGCTCACTCATCTCCTCACTCACCTGCTCACTCACCTGCTCACTCACCTCACTCACCTTCTTATTCACCTCCTCATTCACCTCCTCACTCACCTGCTCACTCACCTCACTCACCTTCTTATTCACCTGCTCACTCACCTGCTCACTCACCTGCTCACTCACCTCACTCACCTTCTTATTCACCTCCTCATTCACCTCCTCACTCACCTGCTCACTCACCTCACTCACCTTCTTATTCACCTCCTCATTCACCTCCTCACTCACCTGCTCACTAACCTCACTCACCTTCTTATTCACCTGCTCACTCATCTCCTCACTCACCTCCTCACTCACCTGCTCACTCACCTGCTCACTCACCTCACTCACCTTCTTATTCACCTCCTCATTCACCTCCTCACTCACCTGCTCACTCACCTCACTCACCTTCTTATTCACCTGCTCACTCACCTGCTCACTCACCTCCTCACTCATCTCCTCACTCACCTGCTCACTCACCTCTTCACTCACCTGCTCACTCACCTCACTCACCTTCTTATTCACCTGCTTACTCACCTCCTCACTCATCTCCTCACTCACCTGCTCACTCACCTCCTCACTCACCTGCTCACTCACTGAATCATGTGTGGAACTGGCTGGCCCTTGCATACCATGAGCCATACTCAGGCCCACCAGAGCAGTAGGTCTCCAAGTGTGGGCCCCACACCAGCAGTCTCAGCATGACCTGGAACATGCTAGAAATGCAAATTCTCAGGCCCTAACCCAGACTTTCTGATCCAGAAACTCTGGCTTGGGCCCAGCCCTCAGGATTTGAACAAACTCTCCAGGTGACTCTGCACACTAAGTTGGAGAATGGCTGTGCTGCATTACCTCAGTTTCTACATTGTTACTTTGGGGAAATAACATGTGTCTCACAAGGGTGAGCCCAGTGTTAGGTAACACGCGTGGGATGTGCTCCCTATGCCAGGCATCCTTCCAATCCCTTTATCACTCACCCAGCTCCACAACAACTCTGAGACAGGAACTAATATCATCCTGATTTCACAGATGAGAAAATGCAGGCACAGAGAGGCACAGTAACTTGGCCAGGGTCACACAGCTAGTAGATAGCAGAGCTTTAGAATCCACATGCTTTATAGCTCCCCAACAGAAAGTCCCCCCGCAGTGGGTCTGGCTCCCAGGATGTGTTCTGGGCATGGCTGAGAATGTGATGATGGCAGTTACCATTACCTCACCTAAACTCACGCTGATGATCCCCATTTTGTAGATGTGAAATCTGCTGCCTTGTCAAGATGAGGGAGTGAGTCAGCGGCAGAGGCAGCCTGAGTGTCTGAAACCTGTGTGGCCCTCACCATTCACAAAGCTTCGAGATCACAGTATACCATTCTGGTCTTGCAGAAACATGCCAGCTTGCTGCAGGGTGGAGTGTGGGCTCTGACAGAGGTGGCTGGAACCCTAGTTGGCCACTCCGGGGCTGTGTAACCTTGGACAAGTCATCTTCCCGCTCTGAGCCTCCGTTTCCTCCTCCATGAAGTGCTTGGTGGCGGTCCTAACACTGTGGGGTTCCAGTGAGATTTGGAGAAGATGACATTTGTGCCCAGCCCAGCCTGTGTGTGGTTGGCTGTCAGAAAGCAGCTTGTCCCTCTCTCTTCCCCCTCCCTGCTGCTACCTTGGTGGAAACCCCAGCTCAGGACCCAGGAAAAGGCCTGGGAGAAGAAGAATGAAGTTCCCAAGCGATGGAAATGCATTTGTCCTCCCGCTCGTCTCTCCTTTTCCAGATCTTGAAACAGCTGCCCTGGCTGGGGTTTTGGGGGTTAAACACTGGCACCTGCTATGCCCAGTGCAAGTCAGGAATGGGGTAACCTGTGAAGGGTGGGGAGGTGTCCTCTCCGAACCATCCCCACTGGCCAGGCAGCCTCAACCAGCCAAAGCATCTGAGCATCTGCCTGCAGCAAGACCGAGTCTGGCCCCAGCATCTGAAGCTCATTAGCGGCCTGCTCCCCGGGGGCTGACCCTGCTTGGCGAGAGTTACCCCAGACAGAGCCACAGAGCAAATGAAGACCAGGTGAGGTGTGGCCACAGGGGCGTGGGGGGATATATGGTCTCCCAGCGGCTCTGGGGACCCCCAGAGAGCAGAGGAGGTTGGAGAAACATCCAGACTCACCGTGCAAAGGGGGAACTTCCTCTTTGGGCCTCAGTTCCCCGACATGCACATCCCTGGAGGAGTGGCAAGCAAGGCACTCGCTGGGGGCCTTCCAACCCTGACAGTCGGGGTCCCAGCCCTACCTCTAATTCCTGGCTTTTGAGGTCCAGCCCAGTGCTAGTAGGGTGTGAGGGATGGGTGGCAGTAGCAGGGGATACTTCAGGGGTGGGAAGCCATGACCCCTCCCTCAGTCCTGGAGATCAGGGGAAGACCAGAAAGTGACACCACCGCTCCGAACAGGCAGCGAGGTGCTCCCTCAGGGCCCAGGAGTGACAGAGATGGTGGTGAGGGTCAGAGGCAAGAGAGGGTGCAAGCTGAGCCTGCTTCCAAAGACAGGGGCGTACTGGGCGAATGGGCCAGGATGGAGTCGTTCTCCCTGTCTGCACTCATGCCTCCACCCTGCTTCCAGTTAGGGCACAGCGAACTTTCACTGAGTGGTTTTTATTGTCCACTAATTTTATGCCAGGCGCTGTGCTAAGCACTGCACATATATTGACGAAATTTAGCCCCTTCACTGGGTGGCAGGTCTCAGCCTGGAGTCTGGCCCTCACCTGGCAGGTCCTGACACTGACCTTTCTCCAGACACCCAGAGAGGTCTGACAGGCTGACCCTAAGCTGTCAGTCAAGATGATGCCTCCTCACAACACTTAGCACTGACACAGAGCACTCTCCTTTCTACTGACAGGAATGCTTTTATCCTCTCCTCCATCTCCTTCCCTCCTGGGAGCCAGGGCTCTAGGATGCTATTGTCTGATGGGCCTGGGAGCTGAGCAAAGGAGAGAGGAATTCTTGTTGGGAGGTGCTTCCTGCAGACCTTGGTGAAGCCAAGGTGAAGAATGATCTCCACCCATGCAGGGGGCTCTCTGTGGGGACTGGGACAGGCATGGGTCTCAGACAATCTCCCTGACCTTCCAGACAGCCCTGGACGTACACATGGCCACAGTGGGCTTCTCTGAACTTTGGTTTTTCTCTGGACCTCATGCCTTGGTTGCTGCTTTCAGACAGGGTAACATTATGAATAGGCTGGACAGCTATTTCCTCAGCCAGGGAGCCTGTGATTCATTTACCTCTCACAGGGCAACGTTATTACCAGCATTGCTAAGAAAGGCCCAGAGAAAGGGAAGGGGGGATCTCATGACATCCACACAGCCTGTCAGAGCTGAGACAATCCTGGATTCCCAGGCCCTGTCTAATTAAACAGTTCATCCCTTTCAAATATAAAATACTAATTATATAACCGTAGAAGAATTATACAGATAAGCAAAAGTCTAAATAAATAAATACGCTTTTAGTTTTTCAGAGAAACTTCCACTGCTCTTCCCCATCCCCCCTACTTCCCCAAACCACCCTCCCCACAACCCTAGACATAATCAATATCTCCCCTCACTTTGCCAACAGCTGCTCCCTAAGGAGTGCGCCTTGACAGCAGATGCTGGAAGACAGCCTTGGACAGGATTCTGGAAAGGCCTGGCGTCTCTTCCAGAACAGCAGAGCTTCCGCCAAACGGAACTGTTTAAGTGCAGGATATTGTAGAAATACTCCCAGCCAGGAATCCAGAGACTGCATCCAGCACTGTCTGGGCTGTGGATTGGCTGTGTGACCTTGGACAAGTCCCTGCCCCCCTCTGAGACTTGGTTTCTTGAACTATAAAATGAAGACTTAGACTTGATCAAGTGGCTTCCTCACACCAGTCTCAGACTGTCAGCTTGTCTTGGGCAAGAGCCATGCCTTCTCCTCTTTAGTAGACCCTAGAATTTAGAATCAGAAAATAAAGTTCAAGGCCAAGCCTATCACTCCTGGACTGTGTACATGACCATGGGGAGGGCCCCACACTACTCTGACCCTCTGCTCCCCATGGAAAGACACAGACCCACGCGCTCACCCTGTGATCTGCCATAGACCCTGTGAGTGGTGGATGTTGAAGACCTTTGGACAACAGGTCTGGGCTATCAGTCTGCCCCTGCCTGCCCAGTGCCTGGCTCTATCCTGACTCTGGAGATCTGGGCCCAGGCTTGTCGATGGAGCCACCATCTGCCTGTGGTGCTTACAGAGCTCTGGGAACAGGAGTGTGGACCCTGTGACCAGCCTGCCGTATAAAGCGGCAGTAATGCTACCCAGAGGCCTTGGGGCCCATGGCATCATGGACAGCAGTTTCCATGTCGGAGCCCACAAAGCTAAGTCCATTTGAAAAAAATAGTACTGCCTTTTTTCTTTCTTTCTTTTTCCATTTTGGCTAAGGCATGGAAAGTGAAAACTGCTGAATTATTGCAGGAAGGAGTAAAGGCTGGGTTCTGAACTGGCTCTGGTTTCTGGGGCCCTAAAATCAATGGCAGAACCTGGAAGCAGGGGCTTTCTCATGCCCACCTTGCTCATGCTCCAGACTCCCCGTGACAGGACCAAGGTCAAGGGAGAACATAGCCCACCTCTAGTTCCCAGATGGACCTCATCTTGCCATCTAAAAACCAGGCATGATAGCCCTTCCCCTGATCATTACTGATTAGAATCAAATGCAACAAAGGCCATCCCATCCATCCATCCATCCATCCAGTGTTTACAAAACACCTTCTATATGGCAGTTACTATTCTAGGAGCTGGGGTAGGGCAGAAAACCAAACAGACAAAACCCCTACCTGCATGGAGCTGCCGTGGTGGGGAAGACAGACAATCACCAGGCAAAGAAGGAACGGATACAGGCTGTCAGCTGAGTGGAGGCCAGCACTATGGAGGAAAATGCCATGGGTCAGGGCAAGGGGACACAGAGTGCCAGTGGGGAGGTACAGGGCCGATTTGCAGTGATTTTTGTTTTTTGGGATTTGGGGAGTTTTCTTGGAGACAGGATCTTGCTCTGTCACCCAGGCTAGCATGCAGTGCTGCAATCGTGGCTCACTGCAGCCTCAACCTTCTGGGCTCAAGCACTCCTCCTACCTTGGCCCCCCAAAGTGCTGGGATTACAAACATGAGCCTCTGCACCCAGCCTGTTTGCAGTTTTAAATAGGGTGGTCAGGGCGGCCTCACTATGAACAGGGCCTTTGAGAGGGCACTGGAGAGGTGAGGAGGGAGCCTGGGGTCAGCTGGGGAAGGGTGTTCCCAGCTCTGGAGGGATGCCAGCTTTGTAGAAGCAGGGGACAGAAGGAAATGATCCCTCCATGTGTCTCCTGCTCCTCAATACCCTTGGCTCCATTCTGGGAACAGCAGGCTCCGGACTTTAAGGGCACAGTTACAGATTGTATGGTCTCTCTTACCCAGGGGCCTCCATTCCACAGGCCTTTGCCCAACCCCTCTTTCATGTCGGTCTCAGAGTATGCTGAGGGTGCCAGGGAGAGCTCAGACTTGCTGCCTGACTGTAGTAGGTGGGGCGTCAGGAGGCCCTGGGCTCTAGCCTGGCTCTGCCATTGGCTGGCAATGTGACATTAGTAAGGCACTGCCCACTCTGGGCCTCAGTTTCTCTGTTTTTAAAATAGGATAATTGGTGGTTGCCACGGCCTGTTGGAAGGGGACCGGGACATGCCTGCTACTAGGAGTGTGGCTTCTTCTGCGGTGACGACGATGTTCTGGGATTGGGTGGCAAGATGATTGCACAACTTTGCGAATATACTAAAGTAAATTGCACACTTAAACAACTTTAAAAACAAAGATGGTGGTTGGACAAGATGACCTCTAAAGGGAGGACATTAATTTTTTGTGTGCCTGTAACACCCCAGGGCCTGGACTCAGCACTTACCTATCTCATGATCTCCAGGGTTCCTTCCTGTTTTGACTTTCTGTGACCCACCACGGTGATATTCAACATTGCAGTCACTCATCATGTTCAGCCTAACCCTGATTCAGGTCCACAGTTAGGCTGGGGAAGAGAAGGAGGTACAGTCCCTTGCTGAAGGGGCTCAGTGTCTGTGGAGGAAATTAGAAGCATGCATTGCGCGCCCAGAAAGTTTTTGTTTTGTTTTGTTTTTGGACTAGCTCCTTCCTTTCATTTCTTTGTATAGGAAAAAAAATAATACAAGGGAAGGCTGGGAGCGGTGGCTCACGCTTATAATCCCAGCACTTTGGGAGGCCGAGGCAGGCAGATCACGAGGTCAGGAGATTGAGACCATCCTCAGGCCTGCCACTCTGCACGTCCAGCAGCCAAGCTGTTACTAGAGCCAGATGATTGGCCTGCTTGGCAGCTCCTGGCCATCCGACCCTGCTGTCCTCTTCCCAGGCTGACCCTGCTCCCCCGATGCCAACTTCCCCTGCCAGTATCTTGAGGTGAGCACTTTTCCACCACATCTCAGGCCAAGCATGGTTCTTGGCTCCAGGTTTGTGAGCTGGTTTCCGGCCATCCTGGCCCTTGGCTGCTCCCTGAGGACCTGCTCCAGGGCCTTATGCTCTTTCTACTCTGGTTTTTCATTTCTGCCTCTCTTGAGTGTCCTCTGTGTGACTGTCCCTCTGCTGGGCTGCCCTGGGTCTCGCCCCCCTCCTCTTTCTGCCTCTTCTCTAGAGTGGCTTGGCATTATAGACAAGCATGTGCTTCAGGACAGATGGAACTGGGTTCAGATCCTAGTCCTGTCACCTGCTGGCTGTGTGAGCTTGGGCAAACGTGTCCTCCCATCTGACTCAGTCTCCTGTCCTGTGGAATGGGGATGAGTCTCATAACTCCTGTTTCTCTGGATGGTTGGAAGCTGAGATGAAGTCCACAAAGTGCCTTCTGGCAAATAGGAGATGCTCGACAAATGTGCTGCCCGTTACCTTCCTTAGGCACGGTCTTCTTCACCTGCACATCTTGCTCACTCACACGCAAAACAAGGAACAAAAGCCCCCCTCTGGCCCCCAACAACCTCCCAGCCCCAGGCTTGAGCGCAGACAACAGCATGCTCACGGACATACTGATCCCAACGCGGGGGTGAGGGAGGCTCTACCTGGAGGGCCTGGCTGGCCTCTGTACCATGAGGCTCCCCAGGGGGATGTGGGAGGTGTCTTCTGAGCTATGCCTTCTGAGCCATGACCAGAGTCTTGTGTTTTCATCAACAGCAGGACAAGAGAGGCAGCCTCTCAACATCACTCCTGGCCTGTAGGCTCCTCTTTCCAGCCTCCAAGCTATTCCTTGTGCCCTTGACCCCATTTGAATACCCTTCCTCTCCCCACTGTCCCCCACCCCCATACTTAGGCCTCATGCCAGCTCTGGGGCTTAGACATGACAAGAGGAGGAAACTGAGGCTTAGGGACATTCTGATGTGGGTGTTTTTCATGAGAATGTGTCCTATGTGATATATTGTTTCACTTCTTAAAAGGCAAAATGAAACCAGTTGCCTGAGTGACAGCAGATCTGGAATGGAAACAAAGGGCTGCAGGACTCCAAATTGCTCATCCATCCTCTTCCCTCTGCCACATCCTTAACATGGCTGTGACTACGTGGACCCTACTGTAACTTACTTCCTAGATATCACTTAACAAGTAATTGTGGAAATAAACACATACATCTATGGCCAATTGACTTTTATTCTTCTTTAAAGAAGCAGGGTCTTGTTCCGTTGCCCAGGCTGCAGTGCAGTGGCACGATCGCCAATCACTGCAGCCTCAGTCTCCTGGGCTCACGTGATCCTCACACCTCAGCCTCCCTAGTTGCTGGAACCACAGGTGCACACCACCACATTCAGCTAGTTTTCTTTTTTTTAAATTTTGTAGAGATACTATGTTGCTCAGGCTGGTTTCAAATCCCCTAACCTCAAGTGATCCTCTCATCTTGGCCTCCCAAGTTGCTGGAACTACAAGCATGAGCCACCATACCTAGCCTGGTCAATTGATTTTGACAAGAGTGCTAAGACAATCAATGGAGGAAGAATAGTCTTTTTAACAAATGATGGGGGAACAACATATTTATGTGCAAAAGAATGAATTTGGATCTCTATCTCACACCATATGCATAAATTGACTCAAAATGGATCAAAGACCCAAATGTAACAGCTAGAACTAGGAAATCCTTATGAGAAAACGTAGATGTAAATCCTTGTGACCTTGAAATAGACAATGGCTTTTTTTCTATATGATGCCAAAAGTACAAGCGACCAAATAAAAAAACAGAGAAACTGAACTCTATCAAAATTAAAAATGTTGTGTTTCAAAGGATATTATCAAGAAAGTTAAAGAACAACCCACAGAATGGGAGAAATACTTGCACAGGAAGTATGTAGTAAGGGTCTAGTATTCTAGTAAGTGGAATACATAAAGAACTCTTTGCAACTCAACAAGAAAAAGACAAATAATTTTTTAAGTGGGCAAAATATTTGAATAGCTATTTCTCCAAATAAGATATACAAATAGCCAATAGGCACATAAAAAGATACTCCACACCATTAGTCACTGGGAAAATGCAAATCAAAACCACCCTGCAATATACTATTCACACTTACCAGGATGGCTATAATAAAAAATACCATATTAACAAGTGTTGTCAAGAATGTGGAAAAATTGGAACCCTCATAATGTAAAATATTACAGTGGCTGGGCACAGTGGCTCATGCGTGAAATCCTAGCACTTTGGGAGGCCTAGGCAGGTGGATCACAGGGACAGGAGCTCAAGACCAGCCTGGCCAGGATGGTGAAACCCCATCTCTACTAAAAATACAAAAATTAACCAGGTGCCTGTATTCCCAGCTACTCGGGAGGTTGAGGCAGGAGAACACCTGAACAAGGGGGCAGAGGTTGCAATGAGCCAAGATCACATCATTGTACTCAATCCTGGGCAACAGAATGAGACTCCATCTCAAAAAAACAAAACAAAACAAAAAAATAGTACAGCCACAGCTGGGCGCAGTGGCTCATGCCTGTAATCCCAGCACGTTGGGAGGCTGAGGCGGATGGATCACCTGATGTCAGGAGTTCCAGACCATCCTGGCCAACATGGTGAAACCCTGTCTCTACTAAAAAAACAAAAAAATTAGCCTGGCATGGTGGCGGGCACGTGTAATCCCAGCTACTCAGGAGGCTGAGGCAGGAGAATCACTTGAACCCAGGAGCCGGATGTTGCAGTGAGCCGAGATTATGACATTGCACTCCAGCCTGGAGTGAGGCTCTATCACTCACTGACAGAGTGAGACTCTATCTAAAAAAATTAACCAGGCATTGTGGCAGGGGCCTGTAATCCCAACTACTTGGGAGGCTGAGGCAGGAGAATTGCCTGAACCTGGGAGGCAGAGGTTTCAGTGAGCCGAGATTGCACTGTTGCACTCCAGCCTGAGCAACAAGAGTGAAACTCCATCTAAAAAAAAAAAGTACAGCCACTATGGAAAACAGTTTGACAGCTCCCCTAAAGTCATACAGTTCCCAGATGATCCAGCAATTCCATCCCTAGGTACATACACAAGAGACTGAAAGCATGTATCCCATGCAAACACTTACACGTGAACGTTCACAGAAGCATTATTTGTAATAGCCAAAAAGTAGAAACAACCCAAGTGTCCATCAACTGATGAACGAATCAACGATATGTGGTCTATCCATACAATGAAATACTAAGCCACCATAAGAGGAAATGAAGGATATGATTACATGCTACAAATAGATGAACTTGAAAATAAACTTGAACTGTCCAGAATAGGAAAATCCATAAGGACAAAAAGAATTAGCAGTTTCTAGGGGCTGGAGTGGTAGGTGGAATGAAGAGTGCTAACGGGTATGGGATTTATTTTTGGGGTGATGGATGAAAATGATCTGAAGTTAGAAAGTAGTGATGGTTGCACAACCTTGTGAATATACTAAAAACCACCGAATGGTACACTTTAACAGGGTGACTGTGTGGCACATGTCTCAAATTCTTTTCCTTTCCAACTTACAGATTCAAGGTATACATGTACAGGTTTGCTACATGGGTAAATTGTATGTTGTGGGAGTTTGGTGTACAGATAATCTTGTCACCCAAGTAATCAGCGTAATACCTGATAGGGAGTTTTTCGGTCCTCACCCTCCTCCCCACATTCCCCTTCAGATAGGCTCCAGTGTCTAATGTTGTCTTCTTTGCATCCATGTGTACTCAATGCTTAACTCCCACTTAAAAGTGAGAACGTGCAGTAGTTTCATGTTCCTGTGTTAATTCACTTAGCATTATGGCCTCCAGTTCCATCCATGTGGCTGCAAAGGCTATGATCTCATTTTTCACAACTGCATAGTATTCCATGGTGTATATGTACCACATTTTCTTTATCCAGTCCACTGTTGATGGGCATCTAGGTTGATTCTGTGTCATGGCTATTGTGAATAGGGCTGCAATGATCATGCGTGTGCCTGTGTCTTTATGATAGAATAATTTATATTCCTCTGGGTGTGTACCCAGTAATGGGATTGCTGGGTCACATGGTAGTTCTATTTAAGTTTTTTGAGAACTCTTTAGATTGCTTTCCACAGCAGGTGAACTAGTTTACATTCTCACCAGCAGTGTGTACACATAACCTTTTCTCCACAACCTCAGCAGCACCTATAGTTTTTGACTTTTTAATAATAGCCATTCTGACTGGTGTGAGATGGTATCTCATACTGGTTTTGCTTTTCATTTCTCTAATGATTGGTAATATTCAACATTGTTCATATGCTTGTTGGCCACATGGATGTCTTCTTGTAAAAGTGTCTGTGCATATCTTTTGCTCATTTTTTTAATTAAAAAAATTTTAATTATTAATTTGAAAAAACAGGTGTGGTTTCAGCCTGTTGCCCAGGCTGGTCTCAAACTCCTAAGCCCAAGCAATACTTCCCACCTTGGCCTCTCAAAGTGTTGGGATTACAGGCATAAGCTACCATGCCCAGCCTTTTGCTCATTTTTAAATTGGGTTGCTTTTTGCTTGTTGATCTGTTTGAGTTTCTTATAGATTCTGGATGTTAGACCTTTGTCAGATGGATAGTTTGCAAATATACTTCTTTTTTTTTTTGAGACAAAGTCTCGCTTTTGTCTCCCAGGCTGGAGTGCAACGCCACCACCTTGGCTCACTGCAACCTCTGCCTCCTGGGTTTCAGCGATTCTCCTGCCTCAGCCTCCCGAGTAGCTGGGATTATAGGCTCCTGCCACCATGCCCAGCTAATTTTTGTATTTGTAGAAGAGACAGAGTTTCATCATATTGGCCAGGCTGGTCTTGAATGCTTGACCTCAGGTGATCTGCCCGCCTTGGCCTCCCAACGTGTTGGGATTACAGGTGTGAGCCACCTCACCTGGTCTCAATTTTTTTTTAAGAAATGTACTTGTGTAGATCTGGAGAGAGTCTTGCAGAACATAGAGCCCAATGTTTCCTGCTCCCTGCTCCCACATACCTCCATGATGAAGATGGGGAAACCATAGCTCAGAGAGGGGAAGCCACCACGTGTTTGAGGCAGAGCAAGAGAACCCACGGCTACTGCCAACCCGCTGTTCCTTGCCTAGATTGTTAAGTCTTGGAGGACAGGAATATTTATTAATTTTGTACCCCCTGTAACAACAGCACAGGACTCAGCACATTGCGGTGGAAACAGGATCGCTCCAATTGCAAGAGTAGATAGAGACCCTATTCCGACAAGCCTAAGGAAACAGGGATTCACTGGCTTCCTATCTGAGAAGGACAGGGTGTGCTCAGGGACTCAAACGGCACCCCATCTCCACCCCACTACCTGTTTCTTCTATTCCTTCTTCATCCTCCTTTTCTTCCTCACATGGCAGGGAATACAGGGTAGGAAGCTCTGGGATCATACCTTTGGAGCTTCCATTCCAAGGTGGGCTGACTGCTTTCTCCCAGAATCGATTTATGCATCCCAGGGAAATGGCTCTATTTGGTCCAGTTGGGCCCTATACTCTTCCTGGGCCAATTAGGTGGGTGGGAAAATGGAATTCTCCACAAGTCCAGGCCTTCTATGAGGGGACTGGGCTCTGTGACTGAGAGCTTCATCAGAACCTTATTAAGTGGGGGATGGAAGGGAGGAGCTGCCCTCTCCCATAAGCACTCAGGCCATTGTGGGAATGAGTAGCTAGCCAGGGGAAAAGGCATTCATGGTGTTTGGATGCAGAGTGGCCTGGGGTTCAAGACCCAGCCTTCTCACTTTCAGGCTGTGTGCAGGTGGGCAAGGGACCTCCCAGAACCTCATTTTCGGACTGCAAAGTGAAAGCAACAATCCCAGCCTTCAGAGTTGTAAATATTTAAGATGAGGGCAGTAGAGTGATAGCCCAGAGGCTAGTGCACCATAGGGGTTGTGCTAAGGGTGGTAATTATCATTGTTATTGATGCTTTGGGTGGGTCAAATCAGAAGCTGGAAATTCTGAGAAAATACTTCAGACCATGGGAGCTTCTCAAGACCCAGACCCCTGTACCAGGGTGAAGGGGGATGGCAGTGAAAGAGATGTCTCCTCCCGGGTAAGGATTATAGAGGATGTCAGGCTAGGCTATGCCTATAATCCCAGCACTTTGGGAGGCTGAGGTGGGCAACACACAAGGTCAGGAGTTCAAGACAAGCCTGATCAACACGGAGAAACCCTGTGTCTACTAAAAAATACAAGAAAAAAAATTAGCCGGGCATGGTGGCACACACCTGTAATCCCAGCTATTCAGGAGACTGAGGCAGGAGAATCGTTTGAACCCAGGAGGCAGAGGTTGCAGTGAGCCGAGATCACACCATTGTACTCCAAACCAGGCAACAAAGTAAGACTCTGTCTCAAAAAAAAAAAGATGTTTTATCTGTGGGGCATGAGAAGGGACTTGACCCCTAGGAGTCCTGAACTCAGGGTCAGCCAGGCACTGCCCAACCTGCTGGGTGACCTGGGCCTGGTGACCTCCCCTGTCTGAGCTCCCCCCAACCCTGGGGGTATGCAATGATCCCTGAACCAGTGACAGCTGCTCTGCAAAACTGCTCAGGGCTCCTGCTCATCTAAGGCTGCTAGCAAGTCAGCATGTCACCTCCCACGCTCCCTGTTTTTTAAAGGGATCAAGCAGCCCTTACCTCAGAGTTGAACATCCACCCTTCTCAAGGTCCTGTGCTGGGCTTGGGGACTCATAGGTGACTCTGCCCCAGCCTGCCCTCAGGGGGCTGCAGCCTGGCTAGATGAATTAACATGGCCCCTGAACAAGGATCGTTCAGGCACTGAGTCCCTGTGTGACCTTGGGCAAGTCACTACCTCCCCCTGGAGCTCTCGTTTCCCATCTGTAAGAGAAGGGGTTAAACATGAGGATGAGAGCCCACAGCCCCAAAGAGCTGGATGGAGAGCCCACCCCCAGACCTCAGCCTTGGAATCTAGTGACATCATCCACAACCCTCTCCCGTTTCCCCGGCAACTGGGGTGCTGGCCAGGGTCCCCCAGGGTCCCAGACTGTCTGGATTTCCTTGCACATAACTATACCTCGTCCACATTTTCACAATTAAATTGTCAGTTTGGGTTAAGTGTTGTCTGCTGATGGCTGTCAACCTCTCTCTGGTTCTCCTCACTCTTCACCCAGAGCAGGTAAGTGAGAATGTCCTGCCTGTCCCTCAGTGCTGTGGAAAGGGAGTAGGATATGAGTGGGAAGCAGGAGAACTGGGTTCCAGGCTAGCTCTGCCATGCACTTGCTGTGTGATCTTGGGTAAGTCACTTGCCCTCTCTGGGCCTAGGTCTCCCTATCTTAACAACAGAGCTAATCCCCTCTGCCCAGCCTCCCCCTCAAGCCAGTGGCAAGGCTCAAAGGAGACTGCCCATAAGTGTGGCAGGGCTTAGGAAACTGGAAAGCTTGGTTTGAGGTCTGGGATGGTTAATAAAATTAGCAAGCGGACCTTGAGAGGGACTTCTCTGACAGACAGGTAAGTCAGTTCCCCTTTGGTCTACCCTGCATCCTTCTGGCTACAGATCTAGCCCAGGTCTTCTCCCCTGTTCCCTTTCACAGTCTGTTCCTAGATTGAAAAGGACAGAAAAAGTGCTCTTCCCAACAGGGCTTGGTGCTGAAGATGCAGGGCAGAGGTGCTAGACCAGAGGACAAAGAGCCCTGCTTCTCACAACAGGTGTCCCCATGCAGATGGCTCAGCTGCTGCCCCAGTGGCCAGGCTGCCCCTCCCATCCACTGGCCCAAGTCATTCCTGCTGCTACCCCAATTTCCCCTGATAGGCTCCCAGGAGCTCCATCTGCCCTCACCTCCCCATCCAACCCCAGACTTGAATCCCACACCTGACCTTACCCTACCCTCTTCAGACTGCATCCATGCCTCCCTTGGCAAAGCCCAAGCTCCCCAGCCCAGCACTGAAAGCCCCCCTGTGGCATGGGCCTGGCTTCCTCTCCCATTATTCTCCTTCCTGATGCTCGTCGTGCCAGCAGCACTAAACCACCCACTTACCCTTCTCTGAAAGCAAACTTCTTCTTGTCTCTGCTTATGCTGCTCCCCTGCTAGGAACACCCTACCCCTTCCCTGGCCACCTGACAATTCCTCTCGCACCTGCACATTATTTATATAGACATGAACGCTAAGTACAGATGAGCTCTCCATCTGGAACTGTTTATGTACCTGGCAGAGAAGGAACTAACCTTTATCAAGAACCGATTACGTGCTGAGCATTTTACATACATCATCTCCCCTTTAAGCCCCACAGCAACCCAGGCAGTCAATTTCACTTCTCCTATTTTTCAGGTAAGAAAACCGAGGCTCAGGAACATGAAGTGTCTTTTCCAAGGCCAAGCAGAAGTTGTGTTGGAGTAGAACCCTGAACTGTGTGATCCAGAGCCCATGCTTGTTTTAGGGCCTGGTGGAAGCACTTCCCTTAGGGTTCTGTCTGTGGCGGGGACACCATATACCTAAAAATACTTGTTATTAAGCGAGGTTGTGCTGCTTTGTAATGCTAGAGACCACTGTGATGTGCCAAGGCTGTCCTATAGAAGAGGGGACCCTAGGAAGATAGCCAGGACCCCTGAGGGAATCAAAGGTCTCTGCTCTAGATGGAGGAGAATCTTCTTTCAGACAAAGCCATTCATAATGGAAGACATCATCCTGGAGGGAGTGAGCTCCCATCCCTGCGGGTATGCAAACAGAGGCTGGGTCACATTCTTCCATTCATTTGGCAACTTTGGAGCAATTACTGTGGTGCAGTACTGGGGACATAGCACCAGATGACAGAGCCATTGCTGGCCACTTGTCACCCCCAGATCAGTGGAGGCATTACAGGGGCTCTGGTGGCTAGAACCTCGGGGTTATGAGAGGGGGTGGCCCAACTGTAAGATTCTAAGATTCTGAAATGACATTAGACAAATAATTGCTTTTTTTTAGCTTTTTTACTCTTTAAGCCTGGCTGCTTCTTGTCTCTATTGCTACATGACAAACCATGTCAAGTTTAGTAGCTTAAAGCCACGATTGATTCTCCTGCTTCTGTGGGTTGACCTAGCAGCTCTGCTCACTTTGTTGGGCTCGCTCGTGCGGCTGCATCTGACTGATGGGCCAGCAGAGACAGCAAGGCCTCTCTCTTCCCCAGCCTGGGCTTCTGACCTTGCAGCTGGGCTGGGCCCCAACAGGGTGAAGGCAGATGCTGTAAGGCCCCGGGTCCTGGGCAGCAGAACACAGGCCATATCTACTAGTCCAGCAAGCCAGGAGGTCAGCCCAGATGGAGGGGTGGGGACAGAGCCTTCACCTTTGCATGGAGTCACATTCCAAAGGGTCTTTATGTTCTGGGCTGGGAGAAATTGGTGCCACTAAAAAGCTGCCTTACTGGCCTGCTCAGAAAGGGTTCAGAACCAGTGACAAGTGACTGCATGGCTTATGCCTGGATGTCAGGAGACCTGATTTCTGTCTCTGCACCACTCACCAAGTGATGTGCGACAAATTGTTCTCTTCCCTCAATGTCAGTTTCGCTGTGTGTACAGTGGGGGCACTGAGCATGGTAAGTCTCTGACGGGGTGTGTGTGTGTGTGTGTGTGTGTGTGTGTGTGTGTGTTGGGGTGAAACTCAGACAATGCCTCCTCTCTTCTCCCAGGTGCAGAGTCGCTGACTTCTACACATACCAGAGAAGCAGAAGCCCAGCCGTGGAAGACACTGCCGTCCAGACACAAATGGCCCACTGCTTCCTATCCTTCCTTTTCTGGTGACAGGCACTGCTCCCAGCCATGCCCAGAGCCCCTTTCCTGTGGCAATAACAGATGTGAATCAAAGGGAGAGCGCACGACCCAAACAAGGTCAATCAGCTGCCTTCCCTGGTACTGATTCAGAGGTCCAAGGAGACAGAGGTCTCATTTGACTGGAATTTCTAACTGAGGCTGTTGGTGGCCGCATCCCAATGGGGACAAATGAGGCCCAGGTGAGTTCAAAGACAGCAGGAAGAAGCAGAAGTGAGTTTGAGACAGCATAGTGTCCCCAGGGGCCCAGGGCCCCAGGGCTCCAGCGCCAGCCCTGAGCCCTCCTGAGTGCAGTAGGGCCACTAGCCATCCCAGTTTCTCCTGCGGGAGCCAGTCAGTTTCTCATGTTGAAGCTGTATGGGGTTGGGTTTCTTCTCTCCTGGAGCTGAAAGAGGCCTGAGAAACACAAACATTGTCTCCTGAGCAGCCACCACCATGATTCAACAATTGAGAGTTGAAAGCAGCCTTTCAGATGTGGTGCCCTCAGCAGACATGATGGGTGGCATATTGTTGCATGCACCCAGGAAAGACGCCTCCCGTCTCTCCCCCAGGCTTGCTCCCTGAGCCCTGTAAAATAACAATACCTCCCCTGACAGAACGGAGGAGGAGGAGGAGGAGGACATACCCTACCCTGGGCAGAGGGCAGAGGTTCCAGCAGCCACAGACCCGGGGTTTGCAGCCAGGCCCACCACCTGAAAGAGAGACCTCGCAGGAATGACTTGCCAGGCCTGGCAGTGTGCCCATCTGCAGAGAAGTGCCTGTCTCGTCCACAGGCACAGAAACTGCCTGGCACACAGTAGGTGCTCGTTCAAACAGTATGACTTCTTCTAATGTTTTTTCTCAGTAACACTGAGAAGGGGTGGTTTCGTAGCTTCCCTGTTTTGCAGATGATGAAACTAAGGATCCCAGAGGCTGAGTGACTTCCCCAGAGTCCCTCGGTGGGTAAGTGGAGGAAGTGAGTCTGATGGCCAGGCCCAGGTGCTCAGATGACAGGCCTGCTGCGATTTGGTCCCCTCACCCCCCCCCGCCTTGCCTGGAAGATCTGGCCTCACAGGGTGTACCAGAAACAGCTGGGCTGGGCTACTCTGCTCAGACCCCCAGTTCATGTGTCTTCTCAGAGAGGCCTTTCTAAAAGCACCCTGGTGCTGGAAACAGTGCCCTTTAGTCTCATTGTACCCAATGAGAAATAGGAAATGGTGAGGACGGCCTCCGCCCTGCCCTGCCCTCCTCTGAGATGTGTCCAGGACCAGGATGAGGGATCTCAAAAACTGGCTCTGGGAAGCTAGCATCCACCAGGTGGCCTGGGGTCGGGAGACGGGGACTACCTGTGGGTTTCCTTCATTCCCATTCATGGCTAGTCCTATGGCACTGGTTGACTGGGTGGTGAGAAAAGCATGGCCCAGGGAGTGCTGGTTCCAGGCTAGAAGGAGTGATCTATGGAGCAGGTCCAAACCCAACCTGGAGACTGGGATCCATGAGATCCCAGCCAACCTGCAGACATGGGAGGGAGAGGTATGTGCTTGTGTATGATGCCACACAGACTCTGTATGCAGCAAAAGCGGAACAAAACACTGTGGCTCTTTTTTTCTTTCTTTCTTTCTTTCTTTTTTTTTTTTGAGACAGAGTCTCACTCTGTCACCCAGGCTGTGCAGTGGTGCCATCTTGGCTCACTGTAACCTCTGCTTCTCAGGTTCAAGCGATTCTCTTGCCTCAGTCTCCCAAGTAGCTGGGACTACAGGTGTGTGCCACCACACCTGGCTAGTTTTTGTACTTTTAGTAGAGATGTGGCTTTACCATGTTGGCCAGGCTGGTCTTAAACTCCTGACCTCAAGTGATCCACCCCCCTCGGCCTCCCAAAGTGCTGGGATTATAGGCGTGAGCCACCATGCCTAGCTGTCACTGTCTTTTTATTCCCTTGGCGAGGTGACAGCGGTGAGCCCCACCATGCTCCCCTTCACACACCACGAAGTCATGGTCCAGAGTGGGTGATCTTGACCCTTCTCTTTACTGGCTGGTTTCCGCTTTCTCCGGACCAGCCTTTGTTGTTGTGGAAGGGATAAAGTGCTGAGGTCTGAGTAGGGGTACAGGCTTAGGGAAGACAGAGAAGGCTTTGGGGTACATCTGGGGTTGTGGTCACATAGCATCCTTTGGTCAGGAGCCCCAAGATATGTGGGCGGCCCTCAGAGGTTATATTGTTCAATCCTTCACTTACAAATGGGCGACTGGGGCTCAGACACAGCAAAATAACTACCTGCCATCACACAGCAAACTAGTGATGGGGCTCAGGACTGTAACCAGTTCCCCTGCACCCCCATCTGGGGCCTCTGGAAACAGGTGACTGCCCTCCACCGTCTCCATCAAGGCTTTGGCCTCAAGGAAAGGAAGTTGAGGTGGGCAGAGGGGTCACTAGAGGTCAGCATGGCGAACGGAAGTGTGTCCTCCCTCACCTCCATGTCCTTTCAGCCTGGGTGCCTCCTGCGCAGGGCGGGTGCAGGGATGGGGGTGGGGGGAAGGGGTGTGCCCCTGGCGAATGGCAGTCAGGCAGGGGCTGAGAAGCCAGCTGACAGGAAGCCCCCAGCATTTCTGGGCGATCAGATCACCAGAATCGCCTGGGCTGATTGAGAAGAAAAATATATTCACGTCCATGTCCACAGCCAGGGGCATGGGGCCTCGTCCCCGATGAAGAGAAGCCTGCAGCCCAGGTGGCCAGCACAGGCCTGATACACAGTGGCCCTCAAGGAGGACTGGACAGAGGGAAGTAGAAGAGAAGGGAAGCGGGGAAGGTCAGTTGGTTCTAAGGATGAAAACAAAATTATTCTCAAGTACTGCTTATTATACAAATAGGGAGGCTTGGGTGCAGGGAGGGGCAGACCTTCACCCCAAGTCTCCCTTGACTTTCAATGCAAGCTTTTGGCATTACTTCTTATAGCTCTCTCCCTGCTCCCACCCCCAGGGCAGGTTTCCAGTCCTGGCTGATGCCTGGGTCCCGATCCACAGGACACATCTGAGTAGCTGGCAGGCGGCAGGAGCAGGCAGGGGGGGCTTCAGGAGTCTGGGATGTTCTCCTGGCTTCCCTCAACTCCCCAGAAGACAATGGAAAGTCACTATACTTTCCCCTTCTGTTCACTGGGGGCCACCAGTGGTAGTGGACACTGAGCCAGAGAGATCTGGGTTCAAATATCAGCTCCTGTTTGAGCCTCAGCTTCCACATCTGCGAAATGGGAATACTAATCCTGATCTTGGAGATGTAAAGGATTCCATGGATTGTATTATTCCAATATTGTGGATGAGAAAACTAAGTCTTGGGGAATTTAAGCAACTTGCTCAAGGTTACACAGCTAAAAATAAAATAAAAATAAAATTGGGCAAAATCTGTATTGGAATCCAAGTTCACGTGACTCCAGATTGCTTCCATTTCTACTCTAGCAGGGAGCCAGAGGAGATTTCTGGCAGGAGGACTCCTGCAAATGTTTAGAGGCAACTGACTGAGCCTCTTAAATGAGCAGAGGGGTGCGCATCCCAGTCAGACAGAGGCCACCTGGAATGGTTCTGAGGTGGCCAGAGGGGAGCTAAGGACACTCTTGGACCCCCAGAGGCCTTTGCCCTCCCACACTTCTTAGGTGAAATAGCCCCTGTCTTCTCCCCTTCCTCAATGCCCCAAGCCCCACTGTCTTTCCACTGCTTTTTCTTTTCTTTTTTCTGAGATGGAGTCTCACTCAGTCGCCCAGGCTGGAGTGCAATGGCACGATCTCGGCTTACTGCAACCTCCACCTCCCAGGTTCAAGTGATTCTCCTGCCTCAGCCTCCGGAGTAGCTGAGATTACAGGTGCCCGCTGCCATACCCGGCTAATTTTTTGTATCTTTAGTAGAGACAGGGTTTCACCATGTTGGCCAGGCTGGTCTCAAACTCCTGACCTTGTGATCCACCCACATCGGCCTCCCAAAGTTCTGGGATTACAGGTGTAAGCCACCACACCTGGCCTCTACTGCTTTTTTGATCGGATTGCCCCAGTGGTCTGGGATAAGAGATGGGGGTGTCCCAGCATACGTTCCAAAGGCTATTCCTGTGATTGTATGCAGGAGTACATGTTTGGCGTTGTACACTTGGGAGCTGTGTGTTCATGGAAGCTCATGCATGTTTGCCCATGAACTCTTTGGGCACAGGTGGTCTGTGTGCTGCCTCCCTTCATGATGTGTGTGCAGCCATTTTGAACCTCTGTGCTACTGTGTGTGAGGGCAGATGATGTGTTCTGGTATCTCCCAAGTGTCTCAGTAACCATCTGTGGGGTGATATGCCCCAGCCTGTATGTGAAGACTGGCTGTGTGGGAGTACTGGTGTGGCTGGGAGGCTGCTGTGGGCACTGTGGGCCCAGATGTTTGTGTTGTATGTGGAGGTAGCTGTGGCTGGGTGTGGGGAAGCCTAGGAGCGCCATTTCATGTGCAGCTGCAAGGAATGGGGAAAAGAATGTCAGGCATTTTGGGGGACCTGAGACAGGCTCCGTGTCCGCACTAGTTTCCATTTCCCTTTCTGCTAATGAACTAGTTATCCTTGAGAACGTCCTGGGATTGAGGTCCCTAGAAGGAGGGGGAGACACGAATGAACTGATAGCACGCGATGGGCAGCTGAAAATCATAGTGGTGCTGCGGGGTAAGCAGCTGGTCTGGTCAGGGAAGACCAAGCGAGGGAAGAAGTGGTTCCAGAAGCACCACGCGCTCAGGCTATGCCGTGCAGGAGGCGCCTCTCTAAGCTCCTTTGGCTTCCGAAACCCTGTCCTCCTCTGCTCCCGCTTCCGTGTGTCCAGAACAGTCCCCAGCAGTCACCCCAGTGGCTGGAAAGCTACCCGGCTCCACACCTAAGGTTTACAGCAGCGGGCTTTGCAGCGCCGAGTCCTCGTGTCTCTTTCTCCCGCAGGATCGTTGATTCGTTTTCCACGACTGGAACCAGAGGCTTGAAGAGATGGCCAGGACTAGCACGCAAAGGCAAGTTTCGGGAACTCCGACGCCTACAGTAATCACGCTGCGGGACCAACAACTAAGGATGCCGGCTCCATGACTGAGACCCAAGTCTGACTTCCCTCTGGCGGGTTGAGGCTCCTTGCCTAGTTGCTGCGACGATTCGAGAATGGCCTTACCCGGGCCCCACGCGTGTCCCAGGCACGCAGCACGCACGCTTAGTAAACACCAGCTGTAGTGAGCGAGTCCCCCTTTGTAACTCGACAGAGTGCAAAGTTCTCTGGAGCGGCGAGCGCCGCAGGTCAGTGGCGTCCGCGGGGACCCCGCCCCCGTCCCCCGTGCGCGGCCAGGGCCACCCGGTGGGGTTGCGGCGCGCTGACGTGGGCGGATCAAAGCGGCCGCCGGCGCCTTATAAAGCAGTTTCGGAGGCCGGCGCCAGAGATCGCGCCCGGCGAGGAGGAGAGCTCCGGCGAGCGGCAAGCGGCGAGCGCAGGCCCCAGGAACTGAGCGCAGCCGAGGGCAGCCGGAATCCGCGCCTGAGTCCGCGCGTGTCCTGAGCCGGCCGCCGCTTGCTAGGATCCCCGGCGTCCTTCTCGCGCCGCTTCAGAAGAGGGCGCTCGCCGCTCCCTGGGCAGGCCGGGGCACCAGGGCAAGCAGGACACGCCTGGCGAGCTCCCCGGGAGGTGAGCAGTGGTCGCGGGCAAAGGGCAGCCGCTCAGCAGGGACCCGCTAGGGCTGGGAGCGCCGGAGTCCGAGGGGGACGACGCTTCTCGCACCCGCCACGACCCCCTAGGGCACCCACTCCTGGGTAAGCACACCAAGCGCTCCTCCATACCTCTCTTCCCAGCACTGCGAGGAGTTCCCCCTTGCGGAGCGCAGCCGCGGGAGCCAGGCGACGCGAGCTTTAGGGAGACGCGCGGGACAGGGGTGGGTTGTGCAGTTCCTGCGGCCCTCCTCAAACTTTCCCAGCCAGTCCCCCATATCCTTCCCCTGCACCCCAGCCGACCCCCACCTTCCCAGTCTGCCCGCGGACCAGGTCCTGCCAGAGCCACCTCCAGGGTGGGACAGTTGGATCCCGGGGCAGAGGGTGCATGTGGTGGTGGGGGTGGGGGTGTGTGTGGGAGAGGGTGGCAAAAAAGGCAGAGAAATGCGGCAGCGCCTACCAGATTGAGGATGGGGGTGAACGCCTAGCTTTGAGAACGGGTCCCAAAGGCAGAGGGGGGAGGAGGAGGACAGAGTTTATTTACTGACCTGAGCTCCAGGCTGGGGCTGGGGAGGAGGAGAGTCCTGTCGCCGGCCCCGCGGCACATCTGGAACCGCCCGGAACATCTGGCTGAGCTAGCGCACGAACTCCACGCCTCCCGCCCCTGGGGCTGAAGTGCCTCGGTGTCCCTCTTGGCCCTGGGCGCTCAGGGTCCGGCTCCAGGGGGTTAGCGGGAGGGATCCCGAGTGCCCCCCACCCATTCTTCCCACTTCCAAAACAACCCGGGTGACCTCGCGCCGCGCCCGCAGCCGAGCAGGCGTCTCTCGAAAGCCTCGAGGCTTGGGTCAAAGTCGGGTGGCCAGCCCGGCGTCGCCCCGCCCCGCAGGTAACCTTGAAGCCGTCGCTCGGTGTCTCTGGTTGGCAGGGTCCGCTCCGTGAGCTGCGCGACTGGAGGCTTCGGAACCTGCCCGTGCGGACCTTGCGCGCCGCGCGGACAATCGACCTTGGCTCACGGTGCCCGCAGAGCGTCGGGATAGGGGAGGTCCCTCAAGTCCCGGCCGGCTTGGCCTGGTCACAGCGGCAGGCTTTCCAGAGCCCTCCACAGCCCAGGCCTATGACCACCTGTTGGTGGATCGGGACTGAGGTGCGGCACTCGCGGTGCCCGCCTGTGCACAGCCCAGGCGGCCGCCTCTCCGGGCCCGCTGCAGGCAGGGTAGCTCGGGCCAGCTTCGAGGAGGGGACCGATCGCTCTCCAAAGGCTCTGCGCCTGGTGGGGCCCGCTACGCTCAAGGCCCCAAGCAAGGGGTAGGGCAGGTCAGGGCGGCCCACCGCAAGTGTCCTATAGAACAACCAGGATCCAGGGGGCACTCCCTGGACACCTCATCCCATCCCCAGACGAGGATGCGGGGGCCCAGGAAGAGGAGGGGACGTGCCCCCAGCCCGAGACGCGGGAGGCAGCCGCGATAGCCCCCTCGATGCCCGGCTTAGCGCCCCCTGGCGGGCTGGGGGCTTCGGGAGGCGAGTGCACCCTGATCCGCGGTCTCAGGCGGAGGGTGACCCCGCGGCCCGCGCGGCTGTCCGGGTCGTTCGTACAAGGGACAGCAACAGTCCGTCAGGACCCAGAGGCTCGGGCCAGGCGCTGCCTCCCCGCGCCACGAGCTGGGGCGGCGAAGGCAGAGGCCTGGGACAGCCTAGGCTGCTCCCAAAGAGGTGGGAGGGGCTGGAGGCCTGGGTCCCCGTCCTCCGTGCGACCTAGGCGGCGACTCCTCTCCCTGGGGAACTAGGCTGAACATGGATCCCCTACTGTGAGTCGGAGCGCCTCCGTCCACGTGCAGCCTCTGCCCCCTCCCCACCCAGGAATGCCGGGTGCCTTGAGGGGGGCGCACTTTAGGAGGGGGGAAGACGATGACTGGAGTTTTTATTTCCCCCCTGAGCTGGGCGCTAGCTGCGGGGCTGTGCGGAGGAAAAGAACTGTGCGATCCAGGCTTCAACTCGTCTTCCTGTGGGTTTTGCCGGCAGGCTCCAGAAAACCGTGGGGCTTCCCCTCTGTGCGCGCTGACGGCCCAGGCGCAGGAACGCGCCACGCAGGTGGCGTCGCGATGCAAACAGCAGAGGTGCGCTGAGCCCCGCAGGCTGCAGGGAGGCGGGGACCTCGAAGGACGCACGGTGAAACCCCGCTCCTCGTTCTTATAGAAGGGGACAGCGAGGCTGGGGTGGCTCAGGGCTTGCCCAAGCTCACAGAGCCAGATGAGAACGCCCCTGTTCCGCCCCAGCCCCCCCACTACGGTGGGCGCCTCCTTTGCCAACTCCCCAAACCTTTAGAAAGGAATCTCTTTGTCTCTGCTCCTCCTGAGGGGAGAGGGAATGGGGCTGTTTCTGACACCGGGCGAACGCCAGGTGTTGGTAAATTTGGGAGAAGCTGGGAAGGGAGTTAATGAGGTGAGAATGAAGTGAAGGAGAGAAAAAGCGGAGAAAGCGGCTCCGCGGCCTGCGGGCGGGCGGGGCAACGGCTCCTCCGCGGCCCGAGGGCGCCGCCTGGAGGCCAGAGGCAGCACCGCGCCAGTCCCGAGAGCTTCCCTGCTTCCCCGAGGCGGGGCCGCCCAGTCCCGGCTCGTACGCCCCACCCCCACCCTCCAAAGTGGGGCGGCTAAAGACGGATTTGGAGTGATAGTGCCTATCTCACGGGGTGCTGGGAGGAGCAGATGCGATCTTGTTAGGGAACGTTTTGTAAAAGCTGAATTGTGCCGGAATTGCCCCAGCGTACCGAGGAGGTAAACTGAGGCACAGTTGGGAAGGAGAATTGCCGAGGCCCTAATAACTAATAATCCATGTTGCCGGGATAAGCCCAGCTCCGGGGCCCCGACTCTGCTGCCTCGCCCGGACTCCGGATTCCTCCCCTTTCCATCCCAGGTTTGCGTCTGTCCGGTTCCCCTCTGCCTCCGTGGCTTTCAGCTTTGTCCTCTGAGCGTCCCTCTCCCTCTCGCTGTGTCGGTCCGTTCTCTCAGGGGGTCTCTGGCTCTGCCGCCTCCTGTCCCTCCTTCCCGCTCCCGGGGCTGGAGGGGCCGAAGGGTGCGTTGGGGTCCGGGGCCGCGCTGGCGGACACGCCTTCGGCGGCGCCTAATTCGAGCCAGGCCCGGGACCAGTCCCCAGGCAGGGCGGGGCGGGAGGGGACTCCCGCCGCGCTTGGCCTCCCGGGGCCCCGACCCCTCCTTTGTAATTTGAATAAAACACCTCCCCCGCCCGCGGGCCTCCTTAACCCGCAGTCTCTGCACTCCCCAGCTGCAGACGGCGTGCAGGACCCGCGGCGGCCGAGCAGGCGGAGGACTTCGGCGCAGCTCCTCCTGGGTGTGACCCCGGGCGCGCCCGCCGCGCGACGATGAGGGCGCGGCCGCAGGTCTGCGAGGCGCTGCTCTTTGCCCTTGCGCTCCAGACCGGCGTGTGCTATGGCATCAAGTGGCTGTGAGTAGGGGAACCCTGCGTCCATGCGCACAGGCCCGGGACTGGGGCGGTGGGGGGCGTTACGGAGTTCCTTGTATGGGGCGAGCTAGCCGAGACCCGGGAGCCCAAACTGGCTTGGCGGTCGTGGGCAAGTCATCCCTAAGCCTCCGTTTCCTCCTCTGTAAAATGTCGTCCCTACCTCCTGGAGGCTTGAGAAGAGGGAGCGAGACGGGCGTGGACCGTGTTGGAAACTCCCGGTCCCGTGCTGCTAACGGTGGCGCAAAGGCAGCGGAGTTGCTGGCCACCTCCGCAGGAGCGATGGAAAAAGACATCCTGATGGGGGGGCGCAATCCAGAGGGGCCAGCTCAGGAGGGTTCTTTAGTCAGTCAGTCTCCTTGACCCTAGCCGGAGTTCCGCAGAGACACTCCTGGCCCCTCCACCTGGGTGATCTTGGGGCGGTGTCACTCTACCTCTTGGAGCCTCCGTGTCCTCTGTCGCAGGAGGGTGCGACTCTTCACCTCACTCAAATCAGATAAAAGGCTCATGAAAGGACCTCAGAAGCTGTCAGATGCCGCTGCGCACATGTGCAGGGCACTCATTTGGATAGAAATTATTCACGCAGCGGAGGAGGAACACAAGGGAGTGCCTGCTCAGGGGGCCGGGGGTGGTGAGGAGAGGAGTCAACGCCAGCCCCTTCCTGAAGGGGCTGCCCTCTAAGCTGAGAGAGATAAGCCCAGGCTGTAAATAACTCCACAAGTGTCCAAGTGCCCGAGGAGAAACCACAGCGGGGTTCTGGGGGGCTAGAGGAAGGAAGCCCACCTAATGGGGACGGAGATTTAAGATGTCGGGAAGCTTTCCCGGCGCTGTGCCCCTAGTGACTGAAGCACTGCCTGGGATTCGATGGTGCGGGCAGTGGAGAGGAGGGCGCTGTGAGCAGAGGGGCTCCCTCAGAGGGCAAGTCCAGGACCGGACAAGGGTCTGGAGTTCGGAGCCGGGGCAGGGAGCCTGCAGATAAGACAGCAGGGGACAGGTTGTGGGGGCTGGGGAGGGCCCTGCAGAGGGTTTGCGAATTAGTTGGAAGACAGAGGGATAATGGCTGTGCGGCCAGCAAACAGTCTGGAGGTCACTGGCCCTGCCCCTTCTGGGGCCAAGTTATTGATTAATGGCTGATTCAAGGTGGGGGGGACCATGTCTTCCTGCCTTTCTTGTTTATAAGAAGCCTGGTCTCAGTGGTCTCCTGACCCTGGGCACTAGCTCTTCCCAGCTGTCCCTGAGGAGTTCTGTGAGAAACCAGCCACCTTCCCTTTACAGTGGGGTACCCAGCACTCTTCCAGCTGGCAGGGTCCTCCAATTCATGAGTCCAAGCTCTCTCCTCCACGGCCACCATTTTACAGATAAGGATACCAAGGTCCAGGGAAGGAGAAGGATTGGCTGAAGGGCACCAGGATCAAACTCCTTGCACCGGGCTTGGGTGGCATTTGCCACCCCTGAGAGTGCTGTGGGGTCACTGCCATCACCCCTGCTCCGCAGTGGGAACACAGAGGCCCCACAAAGGGCGTCACACTGGCATGTGGTGGGGTGGACGGCTGGCTAAGCCTGACATCCATGTCCTCTGTCCCCATGGCAGAGTTAGGCTGCCACAGAAATTGGTACGACTCATTGTGTGGCTTAAAGAAGCCCCTAGCCTCTTGGGGGAGATGGACACATAGAAATACAAAGTGGACTATGGCCTGTGTCCTAGCAGAGGGAGCACCCCAGCCCAGAGGAGGCGTGGTCAGTTCTACCTAAGGGAGGTGCCTGGGCCAGGATTGGAAGGACAGAGAGGATTTGGGTAGTCAGAGATGGAATGCAAAGCAGGTATCCCAAGCAGGAGGCATAGCACGAGCAAAAGCCTGGAGGCCAAACAGTGCATGTGGGGAGACCTGGAGAGCCTGGAGGCCAAACAGTGCATGTGGGGAGACCTGGAGAAACCAGGCACCACAAGAGCCTACTCCTAACTGCCCCAGAGGCTGCTCCGAGAGCTTGGTCATTAAATTCAGATCATACTGCACTCCAGCGAGAAGGCGATAGTCTAGTAAGAGAGGTTAAAGGCTTGCTAGAGTTTAAGATCAAGGAAGAAGAGGGAGAAGGGGTGGAGTTTAAGAATAACAGTTTTCTGTGTGTACATGTGTGTATGTGCATATATAGACAGGTGTGTAGGCCGTGTGGATATAGGTATGTATATGTACACACATGTCTACACACACAGCCTTCCTACATGCGAGGCACTATTCTAAGTGCTTTATATATATTGTTCCATTTAAATCTGCCAACTACCCCATGAAGTGGGTGCTGCTATTACCCCCATTTCACAGAAGAGACAACAGAGGCATGGGGGACTCTACCTAGCAGGGTGTCACAGCTCGGAGGTAGTGGAGGCAGGGTTTGAGTTAAGCTACCTGGCTCTGTGGCCTGTTGGGCACAGGGAGCCCCAGCACGGCTGGGAGCAGGGATGTGCTCAGTGAACCTGGAAAGCCGGGGACTCACCCAGCAGCCTCCACTGACCTGAGCTCTGGAGAGTGAGCTGGAGATGAAAGGGGCACTTGGCACAGGAACTGAAACCCAGTGTGGCTGAGTGGCCTGGAATGCTCACCTGGGCAGCACCTGGGATGCAGGCTGAGCTGGTGGGATGGGGGCTAGGGAGAGGGGATCGGAACCTGGCTGCCCATGGAGGCACCTGCCCAGAAATAACCTGGAGACTCTTCCCTCCTTACCTCCTCCCAGGCCGGGCACCGGAAGGCTCCCTGCCCCACAGGTATTCGGGGTCCCAGGTCTGGGCTGTCCCTACTTCTTGGCTGCCCTGGATAGGAGGAGAGTTCGAGGGGAGTCCCACCCTCCTGTGAACCACAGGGACAGGGGCGGCAGGTGAGAGGAAAGGCCCAGTATGGCTGGGAACACCCATAAAGGCCCCCTTCCCTGGGCAGTCCCACATCTGCTGCTCCCACGGAGGTGGAGCCAGGAGGCTCTAGAAGGGCCATGGTGCTGCAGAATCGGGTGGAAGGAGCATCAGACTGGGAGTGAGAGGCCCAGCCTGAGTTCTGCAGGTCAATTGCTTCAGCTTCTCTGAGCCTCAGTTTCCTCAGCTCTCAGATAGAGGTAGAAGGAGCCCTACCTCGGGATGTGGGAGGCCTGGGGATCTAGCTTGGCTCTGCCTCTGATTGGCTGTATACAGATCTGGGCAAGCCCTGCCTTTCTGGGCCTCAGTTTCCCCACTTGCCTAGTGGGAGTTGGTGACACTGTGGCAGCTGCCCTTTGGCTTCTTGGTTGAGAAGTGTCAGACCAAGCCCTGTTTGGGCTCTTCCTCACAAGGTGGACTGCACAGGTGGGTCAGCATGTATGAGGCTAAGGGGACAGGCTTCCATCTCTGAGGTCTGGGCAGTCAGATGTGAAGGGACTCAGTGTCATTTCCAGGTAGGACTGGATCTGCAGGCTCCAGGCCCTTCATCAGCCTCCATTTCTCTATCTGTACAGTGAGGACAAGGGCTGGACTGGTCCCTCTTCACTCTGGAGCCCTGGAACAAAGCCTAGGAGGGAACGGGAAGACTCTCAGGCTGTGGGGTCCCAGAGGCTTCTTCTTCCTGGATGGCCAGCTGCAGCCCCAAGCTGGGGTGGCTGTGAGGAAGGGGCACTTCTGAGGTTCCTAGACCTCTCCCTGGTTCCTGGACCTGGAGCTAATTGAGGAGTTAATTGGGGAGTCATGGAGGGAGAGGTTCTCCAACGCTGCCCTACGGGAGTGGACGGAAGCCTGGGGAGAGGTGGAGCTTGCCTGGGTGGCCTGGAACCCGGGTTCCTGCTCCATCCTCCCTGCCACATGGGCACCAGGATGCGGTGGGGCCTAGGAGAGCCCAAAGGGACATGGGCAGGGGAGGGACAAAGGTCTGGCTGGGAGAACAGGGTCTCCTCAACTCCATTGCTCTCCCACCTCAGGGTCAGCAGAGTCCACAGATGCAGAAACATGGGGATTCTAGGGCAAGACTGAGCCCCTAAGCCAGCCCGCAGCTCTGGCCAGCATTCTCCTCATCCCAGAAGCACAGATGTGGGCATCAGGGTCTCTCCCACGGCCACCTGTTGATCTTACCCCATCTCTCCCCCTGGGTGGGCAGCTGCCAGGCTGCATTCTGGGTGGTGCTGCTGGGGTTGACTTCTGAGACCCTCTGAGCCCAGCTCTGCTGAAGCCTCACCTGGAAATAGGTTGGGGATGCCACTCAGCACCGTGGGTGGCGGTGCTGAGAGACCCTGCAGAGAGGGACCTTGGGGGTCCCTCACAACTGCAGAGAGGGACCTTGGGGCCCAGAACACTTAAAGGAGCCTGAACCCGGCTGCCAGGTCTCTGGCCTAGAATTCATCATGTGACCTGACCCCTGTGCCAAGAGGGAGAGTGATGCTGTGAAGGGTAGGTCCAGGAGGGAAGCCCTTCTTGGAAGGTGCTTTACCCGGGCCAGGTCCCCTAGAGCAGCCTGAGGGTGGGGCTACTGGTACCACCAGGAAAATACCTCAGTGAAGTCATTTGACAGCTTGTGTTACCAATGTCAGAGCCTGCATTGTTCTTGGACATTGAGCGGTATGGATGGGAAAATTGAAGCAAGGGACAGTGACTTGCCCAAGGTCGAATGTGCTATCACCCATGTCGTTCTTCTCATTTGAAAACACTGAGCCAGGCTTGAACCCAGGTCCCTGCCCCAGCCAGTCCTAGCAAGGCCCCTGACTCCTGAATGAGTGGAGGCCTTGCCACCCCGGTAGGGCCCTGAGATTGGGCCTCGCCTGTGAACTCTGCGTTCCCTCCTGTCCTTTCTTCCACCCTCTTCCCCAGGCCCCCACCCCCAGATAAACTGAAATGTTTCCAATTAGGGGTCTGTTGGAATGAAGCAAGTAAGATGTCCACAAGGAGAACTCCCCCGCCTCCCGTCCTAATCCTTGATTACCTCCCCAAGGGGGATTTATTTGGAAACGGTCATTACCACTAATTACCAGATGACCACATGGCCCTCCTCGGGAGTGGAATCTGCTGCCTCCCGCCTCCAATCTCTGCCTGCAGCCCTGGTGGGCGGATGGCCTCCCTGGCACGCATGGCTGGCTGCTCCGTCCCAGCCTCAGCCTCCATGGCGGGCCCCTGAGCCTCTACGCTGCTTTGCTCCCACCAGGGCCTCTGGATTGGCTTTACCTTCTGGCCACCTGGGGAGTCTGAGCCTTCTCTGGAAGGTACTCTGACAGCACCTTCTCCCTCAGCCTTCTGGGGAGGATGGAGAGACTGAGACCCAGGATGGCTCCGGGGCTTACCCCAGGGTCCCAGCTAAGGAGACCCAGGCACCAGGAGCACCAGCTCCCTTCCCTGAGAGCTGTGGCTCCCAGCACTCACAAGCTGTCTGCACTCTACTCCCTGGGAAGAGGCTCAGCCTCCATCATCCTACCCCATGGCTTAAGCAGAGGCCCAGGGAGAGACATGGGAGGCTGCCTTGGCAGCCTGAACGCCCACATGTGCCATGCGCCTGCTGCTGTACCGCGCGATGATGTGCTGTCACCCATGTTTGTAAAGGGAGGAAGCTGGCTCAGAAGGAGGGGGTGGAGAGTTGGGCGAGGGTGAGTGGTAGAACAGGCTCAGACAGGCTGGGTGGGGACAGCCCAGAGCAAAGCAGAGTGGGGACCCAGAGAAAAGTGACCACAGCACCCGTAGGGACTGACAGCCTCACCAAGAAGGATGGTGGGGCCTGCTGGGGGGTGCTAGACAAGCATAGCCCCTGAAGTAGGGATGATCGGCCCCTCCTGGCCACCCTCTGAGGTATGAAGTAGGAGGCTGTGCCAGCTGGGGAGGGTGTGCTACGTGGAGCTGTTACTCCGCCACCACCACCACACTGCACGCAGGGACAGCGTCTGCTGGGTGGAGGTGGAGGGGCTCTGACAACCAGAAGCGCATCGAGGTGATGACATTTGCCTTTGTGTGGTCGGAGCCCACCCAGGAAGTACAGCAAGGTTCAGCCACAGGTTCCACAAGAGGGCGAGGCCAGGACAGGCCAGAGCAGTTCCAGTTAGGTCAAGAAACCGCATCTGAGGGCTGCTGTGTGGCCCACCCCGTGCTGGATGCTGGCATCTACACACCAAACATTTCCCGGCTCATAGTTTAAGGGGTAGCAGGGAGGGGAGACTACCCTGGACACCGCAGTTGATCTTATACAGGGTGAGTCGTGCCACCCTAACCACAGACACGAGGCCCTGCTTTCTGGGTCTCTAGGAAGGTTCCTATCTTTGGGGGTTATAGGGTAGGGGGGGCATGGCACAGCGTGAGAGGCACCAGGAAGTGAAGGAGCCTATTCAGTACTTATTGTAGCACATATCATTCAGCCTTGGCAAGACTCTGGGAGCTCCCCACGTTGTAGTTGATGCCCAGAGAGGGACAACAGTTTGCCCAAGTTTGCACAGCTCATAAAGGACAGAGCTTGAGTGAGAACCCAGGTCTTCTCACTCCCTCTGATCCAACACTTGCTAGGCAAAATGCGAGAGACTTCGCATCATCTAGGAATATTTTAAACACTTTGCATACATTCTGTTATTTAATTTGAGTCTCACTGTAGCCTTTTTTTTTTTTTTTTTTTTTTTTTTTCAGTAGACAGGGTTTCACTGTGTCACCCAGGCTGGAGTGCAGTGGTGCAATCATAGTTCTCTGTAACCTCAAACCCCTGGGCTCAAGAGAACCTCCCAAGTAGCTGGGACTACAGGCATATACCACAGAACCCAGCTAATTTTTTAAATTTTTCATAGAGACGGGGGCTTTCACTATGTTGCCCAGGTGGTCTTGAACTCTTGGCCTGAAAGGATCCTTCTACTTTGGCCTCCAGAGTAGCTGGGATCATGGACATAAGCAATAACCCCCAGCCTTATAGCCTTTTGAAGTAGTAATTATTTCTATTTCTGTTTGATTTTATTGAGACGGAGTCTCACTCTGTCACCCAGGCTGGAATGCAGTAGTGCCATCTCAGCTCACTGCAACCTCTGACTCCCTGGTTTAAAGCAATTCTCCTATCTCGGCCTCCTAAGCAGCTGAAATTACAGGCATGCGCCACCACACCCAGCTAATTTTTGTATTATTTTTAGTAGAGACAAGGTTTCACCACGTTAACCAGGCTGGTGTCAAACTCCTGACCTCAGAATAATCTGCCCCCTTGGCCTCCCAAAGTGCTGGTATTATAGGTGTGAGCCATCTCAACTGGCCTTATCATTTCTTTATAACAGATGAGGATCATGAGGCCTAGAGAGGTTGGGTAACTTACCTAGGTCACACAGCTGGTGTCCAAAGCTTGTGCTGCTCTTCCTGGAGCCAGGCCAGGAGCTAGAACAGCTGGGCCATTAATTTATAACTGTTTATAGCTTTATCCAGCCATTAGACTAGGCACTCCTTGAGTTGAGGATCTATGTCATGTTCATTACCAAATGAGACTGGGAAGAGTTGGTGCTTAGTAAATGTTTCTTCCACAAGTAGATCAAGTTCATTTATTCATTCATGTGCAGAAGCAGGGGGAAAGGCTTTCCTGGCATCAGGAAAGGACTGGGCAAAGGCATGGTGGCAGGACAGTTCCTTTCAGAGAAGTCAGGAACCTGTTGCGGCTGGATGTCAGGATGAGAACTGGAGCCTGGAGAGAGCTAGGAGGCCAGGCTTTGAGGGGCCCTGAATGTCAGGTGACAGCCTTTGGCCTTGACTAGGCAGTTCCAGGTAGGAAAAGACCACCAAGGTGGTAATTATAGTAGCTTCCATTACTGAGCACAGAACATCAGCCCTGGGCCAGAGCGTGTGATGCACATTGTCTGATTTAAGCCCTCAGTTGATACTGGGAGGTGGGTGGGAAAGGAGAGGTTAAGTGACTTGCTCAAGGTTGCAAGGGGAGTGATACAGCCTGGAGTCTACCCGAGCCTGTGCAGTGCCCTTCCTTGGCAATGGGCTGCCTCTCTCAATACTCAGCCCAGGGGTTGAAACCAACTTGCCAGGTTTCAGCCCTGACCCTGGGTGAGGACCGCTGGGGCCACAGCAGACAGGGCACTCAGCACATCTGGCTGCAGATTGACCCCTCTTGACTCTGTTCTGGGTCTCTGCTGGGTTGCTGAAGGCCAGCTGGCTCTGGGTTCCAGATGGCCTCTGCTGTGGGTGGGGGCACTGGGATTGAATCCATGTGGAGTCCTTTAGGGCTGTGGGGGCCTTCTAGCCTGCACTTAGAGGAAGCACCCCTGATGCAGCCTGCCCCTCAGAGAAGGCCTGGGACAACAGCAGATCCAGGAGGGTCCTGGTCCTAGAGTCTTGGAATCCAGGTGCCCAGAGCTGGGATCTGGGAGGCTTGTGGGTTCTCTAACATCACCAGGGTTCACAGAGACCTAGTAGGCTAACATTTCCCAAAGCGTGGATGAGGTCAGCAGCCTTAAGCAAAGGGCTCTGTGCTCAGTATGCTCAACAGACTCCCCAAGCTAAACAAAACCAAGCCTATTGCTTTGCTGCAGGACTTCTCAGGACCTTTAAAATATAAATGCGCATCCTGACTCTCCAGGCAGGGACACAGTACATCGTGTTCCCCAAATGGATCCCTTTTGTCAGAGTGTCTCACTGGAACCTATTCTAGGAAATGTAGTTTACAAGTACAAACTCTGAGGCCCAAAGAAGGGCAATGAATTATGTCAGGTCACACAACAAGTTAATGGCCAAGTGTGGATTAGACACTAAATTTTCCAAGTTCCAGGTCATCATAAAACTGAGCAGCTCTTTAATCCTTGATTAGCAATTCCTCACATGGATATGGGACTTTACAACATAATAAATGGGCTTAGTAATCAAATGAAGCAGTGATGGAAAACTCCTAACTCATGTTGCTCATCTAGTAAGGCTTCAGTTAATAGTATGGACAATTATTGTGATTATACGAATCTAGCATTTCGCATGGTTTCTGGAACATAGCTGCTCAGTGTTGAATGAATGTTGAATAAAGACTAATAATTCACAGCTGTGTGAGAACTAAGTCAGGCAGTGGATGTGAGCGTTGTAAACTGTACAGCTGTTTCATTAGTATAATTATCATAAAGCTTAGGTAGGCTGGGGGTTGTGAATAGGGCCTGAGACCCAAAGAGGGACAGTAATGTGCTCAAGGTCACACAGGGGTGGGAGGGGGATCCACTGCTCTGCCAGCTGGCACTTTGGGAGCCTTTCTTGGAAGGAGCCAGGAGGAAAGGCTGGGGCCACTGGGGCGGGTGGAGGCCATGTGGCCCCTGACAACCCTGTCTTTCCTTCCATCGGTCACGGCCTTTCCACGGTGTGCAGGGCGCTGTCCAAGACACCAGCGGCCCTGGCGCTGAACCAGACGCAACACTGCAAGCAGCTGGAGGGCCTGGTGTCTGCGCAGGTGCAGCTGTGCCGCAGCAACCTGCAGCTCATGCACACGGTTGTGCACGCCGCCCGCGAGGTCATGAAGGCCTGCCGCCGGGCCTTCGCCGACATGCGCTGGAACTGCTCCTCCATCGAGCTCGCCCCCAACTATTTGCTTGACCTGGAGAGAGGTAGGAGCTAGTGAGGCTGCTGAACGCATGTGTGGGTGTGGGTGAAGGAATTCAGGTATCGATCTGTGTGTGTTTAGATGGAGGGATGGGTTCACGGGTGGGTGGATGATGGATTCGTGGATGGATGATGTGGATGATGGGTGTATACAGGCACAGATGGATGGGTGTATTGGTAGGTGAATTAATCATAGGTATGGGTGGGCAGGCATTCACCATCGAGTAAACACAGATGTGTGGAACTGTCAGCTCAGGGGAGCCTGAAGGACAGCACATATACCTGTGTGCCCCATGCATGAATGAAGGAATGACGGAAGGCTGTGGCCTGCCATACTTGAAGCCACGTGTCAGGGAGGCTCCTGGGAGAGGAGCCTAGAAACAAGAATGCTGCTGGGCACAGTGGCTCACACCTGTAATCCCAGCACTTTGGGAGGCCGAGGTGGGTGGATCACAAGGTCAGGAGTTCGAGACCATCCTGGCTGACATGGAGAAGCCCCATCTCTACTAAAAATACAAAAAATTAGCTGGGCGTGGTGGTGCATGCCTGTAGTCCCAGCTGCTCAGGAGGCTGAGGCAGGAGAATCGATTGAACCCAGGAGCAGAGGTTGTAGTGAGCTGAGATCGCACGACTGCACTCCAGCCTGGACAACAGAGCGAGACTTTGTCTCAAACAAACAAACAAACAAAAAAAGCAACAAGAATGCTATAGAGAAAACCCTCAGGGCAGACAGGTGTGCCACAGGTAACACTGAAGCAGGCTGCTGAAACTGTTGCACCATGCACAGAGCGGTGTAGGGACAGAACATCTCGAAGACTTCCTGGAGGAGGTGGCTTCTGTGGGGGCCCTGAGGGGACCTATATATAATAGGGAGGCTTCCGACAGGCAGAAGCACCCCAGTAGGTGTCATCTCTCCCCTGCACTGTAATAACTTTTCTTGTGGGTCCTAAACAGTAGCAGCTAATGTTTGACAAACCTTCCTTTCTTCCTGAATTATTTGAATTCTATAGCCAGCCTGTGAGGTAGGTGTTATCACCCGTATTCTACTGTTAAGAAAACTGAGGCTGGAGAAGGGGCAGTGGCTTGCTAGTTAAGAAATAGAGCCAGGGCTCAGACCCATGGCCAGGACCCGGCAGCGGAGGCTCCTGAGTGCCAGATTCGTTTCCTAGGGCTGTTGTCCAGTGGGCCACAACTGGCTGCCTGCAAACAACAGATGTATATTGTTTCGCAGTTCTGGAGGCTGGAAGTCTGATACCGAGGTGTCCGCAGGGCTGTGCTCCCATGAAGGTGCTAGGGAGGATCCTTCCTGGCCTGTCCCTGGCTCCTGGTGGCAGCCGGTCATCCTCGGCATTCTTTAGCTTGCAGCTTTGTCACTGCAGTCTGTGCCTCTGTCATCACAGAGCAGGCTCCCTCTCTGTGCGTCTGTGTCCCCGAGATTCCCTTCTCTGTCATCACAGAGCAGGCTCCCTCTCTGTGTGTCTGTGTCCCCGAGATTCCCTTCTCTGTCATCACAGAGCAGGCTCCTTCTCTGTGTGTCTGTGTCCCCGAGATTCCCTTCTCTGTCATTGCAGAGCAGGCTCCCTCTCTGTGTGTCTGTGTACCCGAGATTCACTTTTCTTATAAGGACACCAGCCAGTGGCCTAGGGCTCACCCTGATCCAGTATAACCTCATCTCAGCCCATTATAGCTGCAAAGATCCCACTTCGTCATAAGGTTATGCTCACAGGTACAGAGGTTAGGACTTGAATACATCCTTCGCGGGGAACACAGATCCACTCACAGCAGGCCGTTTGTGCATTCACCTGGCCCATCAGGAGCTCAGAGCCTGGGCTTCACTTCTGTAAAGCATCCCCTAATGCCAGTGTAGGGTGAGGGGGTGTAGGGCGAGGGGGTGGAAGCCCAGAACTATGCGTGAGTAGGAGGACTGGGCCAGGGAATGCCTGTAGGTGTGGGGTCCTGAGTGTGGCTGTCAGCTGGTATATTCAGAGGGAATTAGGAAAGCAGAGGTGATAGCCATAGTGCTGACCCCTGCCAGTGCCACCTGGGTTACAGCAAGGTGTGGGCAAAGGAGAAGGACCTCCGACCTGGGCAGGGTCCTAGCCCTTGATGGGTGCCAGCTGACCTTCCCCTTCCACCCCCAGGGACCCGGGAGTCAGCCTTCGTGTATGCTCTGTCGGCTGCCGCCATCAGCCACACCATCGCCCGGGCCTGCACCTCTGGCGACCTGCCCGGCTGCTCCTGCGGCCCTGTCCCAGGTGAGCCACCCGGGCCCGGGAACCGCTGGGGAGGATGTGCGGACAACCTCAGCTACGGGCTCCTCATGGGGGCCAAGTTTTCCGATGCTCCTATGAAGGTGAAAAAAACAGGATCCCAAGCCAATAAACTGATGCGTCTACACAACAGTGAAGTGGGGAGACAGGTAACCACCCATCCCACCCACCCCCAGATAGTTGTGCTTGCGCCAGTGGCTGGAAAAGGGCCACCCAGTGTGCCCCGATGGCGGGGGTGTGGGGGGACGGGCCCTGACTGGCCCATAGCTGACATGCCTCACACTGCCCTGGTCCTCAGCCCTTCCCTCGCCAGCTGCTTGGGGCTTGTCTCGCTTTCCTCCTCCAGGGCATCCACTGGGGTTTGGGTTGTCCGAGCGGAAGGAGCACTGAACTAGGAGTCAGGAGCTCTGAGTCCTGGCCTTGGCTCTGGCACTAAACTCTCTAAGGGACACTGGGCAAGTCACTGCCCCTCTAGCCTCAGCTGTTCCCATCTATAAAATGGTGGGGGTGACCTGCTGCTGTCCCTCCCTCCAGTGCTTGGAGAGGGCTGTGGCCAACAGAAGCATGTCCTAAGGGGTCATCTGCTTGGATTGAGCAGGGGCTCCCACCCATACCCACCACAGCCTCTAGAACAGTTTCCCTCCAGCATTCATTATTATCAGGTTTTCATTCATTCATCACCTCACTGCCCAAAAGGCTGGGGTAGGTGGACCAGTAAGTGAATGAACTTTCTTTTTTATTTTTTGTTTTACCATCACACGTTTTAATATCATATGCATATGAATAGCAAATAAAAATTTATCTTTTGATTTTTTTTTTAATTTTTTATTGCATTTTAGGTTTTGGGGTACATGTGCAGAACATGCAAGACAGTTACATAGGTACACACATGGCAGTGTGTTTTGCTTCCAGTGAATGAGCTTTCTACCAATCCATGTTGCAGACACAGTGCTTGGTGCTCCATACGTTTCTGTTCTGCGGTTGCAGAACAACTCAGGCAGGCCCTATTGTCCCCTTTCTACAGATGGGGAAAGGCCTGGGAACAGCAGGACGGCCACTCGGCCAGAGCTGCGTGTGCAGTCGGCATCTCATCAGCTCCTCTCTGCACCCTTTAGCCCCATTTTACAGAGGCGCTGAGTGAGACCGAAAGCGCTTCAGAGGGTCAGCCCCACCACGCAATAGAGCCCAGGCCTGTGTGACTCCCATGTCCAGGACTTCTGTGGTCTCACCTGCTCTCAAGGGTCTCCCTTGTGTGAGGATTCTTGGATGTCCAGGCCATCCTTGAACAGTTAGGGAAACTGAGGCCAAATCATACTGTGAGTCTATAGCAGAGCCTGGCCAGGAACTCAGGACTCCTGCCTCCTGGCCCTGCCAATCTGTCCCCTACCCCTGCTCATGAAACCCAGTGGGAGCCCTTCCCAGCAGCCTGCACACCCATCACCATGGCCAGGCCAGCTGGGCACCACTTGCTGCCGGGGGCACAGCCCTCCCCTCCCTGCCATGCAGTCCAAAGAGGGTCCTCAGCCTTGGGGCAAATCAGGCCTGTCCCTGAGGCCATCTGCAAAAGGGGCCAGTATCCCCACAAGCTGCAGGGCTGCGTGAGGATTGAATGAGATCGCCAACATGGGTTTGGTACCTCGGGAAGCTCCAGGCCCCTTCTCCCAGCTTATGCCAAGCAGCAGAACCTAATTCACCTTCCCTCAACGGCTCGCCAGTGCCATGGTGCCCTGCAGTCCTGTTGACTTCATTCCTGTGACCTCCACAGACTTTTCTCACAAATTCCAGATTTGATGCCCATACACAGTCCCTGGGTCCTCACTTCCTGGCACTGGCGAGGGGAAGGAGCCCTGGGACCTTGGTCAGTTCCCCCACTAACTCATTTGTCTTGGGGCAAGGCCTGACCACTCTGTGCCTCAGTTTCCCCATCTCTCTGATGCAGGGGATGGGCCCAGTTTCCCATGACTCTTGCCGGTCTCTGTACAGGACAGGCAGGAGGGCAGGCCGGGGGCAGGGGGATCCGAGTCTTGTTCTGAAAGAAGGGTTTAAAAGGCAGAACTGGAAGGCCCTTAGAAGGCATCTAACTCTCGACCCTCAGGTATAAGTGGGGAAGCTGAGGCCCAGGAAAGCTGGCGGGCCCAAGTCCTTTTGGAAGCCAAGGCAAAAATCTCCCCAAGCCTCTGAGCCCAAGGGGCTCCACCATAGTTATTAATTAAATGGACTTTTCAAAACCAATATTGATTTAACTTTAATGGTTCACAAAACCCTTTTGTGTGTGTCGTCTCATTTCATCCTTACAGCTCTCTGCAAGGCAGGAATTATGTGCTCGCTTTGCACGAAAGAAGACAGAGGCTCTGAGTGGTGACGTGGCTTGCTGAGGGTGGCCTGGCAGGAGTGCTGGCAGTGGGGGGACAGCCAGCCAGGTGGTGGGGAGGTGCCTCCTGCACTCACCGCTGCCTCTTCTCCCCTTCCTTCCTTCCTTCTCTTCTTTTCTTCCTTTTTTCCAGCAAGCAGTTAGTGAGAGAAAAAGCATGGAACAATTAAAAGCCACCACTTTTGGAATCACCCTCAGATCTGGGTTCAAATCCCAGCTCCATGATTTCCTATCTGCAACCTTGAGCAGCCTCTCTGAGCTGTTTCTTCTTTTTAAAGTGGGGGGAGTAAGGATACCTCCCCTGAAGGGCTGTTCTGATGATCAACCTCTATTATGTGTTAGAGTGCTTGGTATATAGTAGGTGCTCAATAACTGCATCCCTATTCCTGCAAATGCCTTTATTCCTGCCCCTCAGCCGCCCCCCAGGTTGCAGGAAGACCCACATCACCTCCAAGCTTCACGGCAAAAAGCTCAATCACTTTAGGCTCCAGCAGGCAGTGTCTCCCCGAGAGCACCCAGCCATGGGTGGGTGGGATGGGGGTCCCAGGACAGGCCAGGGAGGGGACTCCGGATGCCCAGCTGACACCTCCCCCTGTCCACAGGCTCTGCGCGCCTCTTTGGAAATGAAGTGTAAGTGCCATGGGGTGTCTGGCTCCTGCTCCATCCGCACCTGCTGGAAGGGGCTGCAGGAGCTGCAGGATGTGGCTGCCGATCTTAAGATTCGATACTTGTCCGCCACCAAGGTAGTGCACCGTCCCATGGGCACCCGCAAGCACCTGGTGCCCAAGGACCTGGATATCCGGCCTGTGAAGGACTCGGAACTTATCTATCTGCAGAGCTCACCTGACTTCTGCATGAAGAATGAGAAGGTGGGCTCCCATGGGACACAAGACAGGTGAGGCCGGCCGCCACCCTGGCGGGAAAGGGTCATCCAGGTTGCATGCACTGTTCCCCAGCTCAGGGCCATGCACACAGCAGGGACTCAGTCGGCATTTGGAGAATGGAGTCCCTGCTCAGTCCAGGGAGTTGGTCCCAGGAATGCTGATTGGAGATGCCAGGCTCCTAGGGTCCCCTGCAGAGCTGCCAGGAGCATTCTGCACTTCGCCTGGCAGGGGCCCAGGGAATGGAGGCTGATGGGAGGCCCCTGTTCCACCTTCCCCAGCTGGGGAGACAGATGGGAAGAGACAGTGCCGCTACTGGGAGACAGGACAGGAACGAGGCTGCCCAACATAAGATAGGTGCTCAGAAAATGTTTGTCAGATGAACAGATGAGGGGTAAAGGCCATACAGACTGCTTGGTGCACAGAAAAGGGACTGAGGTGCCAGGGGAGGTAAAGACAGCCTCCACTGAGTGAGGGAGAGTGAGGTCTGCCTGCATTCCGTGCAGCGATACTGCTCCTGTGTCCCCACCCCTGTGAGCCCTGCCCTGGCCCCCTGCTTCTCCCATCTCCTCCTGGGGACCCCGGTCCTGGAACCCTCCCACAGGCCCAGTCACAGCTGCTGCAGCCAGCTCAGGAAAGGAGAGTAAGGGAGCCAGGGGTGACTGCAGACCTACTGTGTACTGGGTGGGACTGGTGAGGAATGCACAAGCAGCCTTTCCAGAAGACGGGGCTGGCAAAAGCTGGTCCCAATCTCCTATGAGAGAAAGCTCTGGCGTCACGTGCATTTGGGAAATTCTCTTTGGCGCTTCACAAGGCACTAGAACATACGAAAGGCTCCGAGGAATCTGCAGTGAAGGATCTGTTTAAGCCAGAACTTCCCAGAGGTGTTTGGCCATGGAACTCTTTTATTAAGGCGCCCCTAATAGCATTCCACAAAACTCGTGTTCTTGGGGTTAAAAGAATATTGCACCAGAGAGTGGGTGTCTGGGAACGTGTCTGGCACATTGTTGGTGCACAGCCAGCGTCGACTTCCTCCACGGCCCACGTTCCTGTCTCCAGGAGAGGGAGGGGTGGGCTGGGGGGCTGCATCCCCACAGGCTGGGGCAGCAGGCTCTGTGAGGAGACCCAGGCTCCCATCTGGAGGCCAGATTGCAGGGGTCGGCAGAGGGAAGATGGAGCCAGTTCAGGCCAGGGAGACAGGAAGGAGCCAGAGGCTGGGCTGAGGTACATGGGGATGGGGAGTTAGAGGAGGATTCTAGAACATGGAAGGCCCACGGAGGACCCAAGAGTGAAGAAAGGGTCTTCCTGGATATGTGTGTTCTGTGTGTGTCAGCGGGGGCACAGCTTCCCAGTGGGGGGACTCGAGCACATCCCTCACTGAGCTGAGACTCAGGCCTGTGTCCTGTGCAGTGGGGAGGGCACCCCACTGCTCACAGGGTTGGCAGTGATCTCCAGGCACACTTACCTAGCATCTCCCCTCCCCCTGTGTCCTCAGGCTGCCAGGCCCCACTCTCCCAGCACCCCCTCACTCCTGATGAAGAAGCCCCACAGTTTTCCGGCTTGTGGCTGCCAGTTCTTCCCTGGGGGGGGCTTGCAGGTATCTGTGTTAGTTGGCTTTTGCTGCAGTAACAAACACCCCCAATTTCTCAGCAGTTTACAACCACAAACATTTTTTGCCCAGTTACATGAGACTGCAGGTCAGCTGTGGCTCTGCCCGGCTCTGGCAGGTGCTGGTGGGGGATCCCCAAGGGCTCAGGTCATGACAAGAAAGCCTGGTGTGAGGGGAGCCCAGAGGGTCCCTGACCCAGACTGGACATCAACGAAGGCTTCCGAGAGGAGGAGAAATGTGAGATTGATTGGGTTGGAGGTTGAATGTAAGTGAGCTTTGTGAACTGTGCAAAGCGTGTGCACGGGTGGTATCTCTAGAGGCTGGCTCCCTAGCTGGGGAAGACGCCTTGCAGTATCCTCAAATCTAAGCTGGGGAAACCAAGCCCTAATCTGCAGTCAGTGTTCCAAACCCCAGCCCTCTTGTAGTATTTCTTTCAGAGGCCTGCACCCCTGAAACTCACCCCCGCTCAACAGTCTGAGCCACCCTGTGCCCTGGGAGCCAGGTATTCCAATGGCCCTCCCCTGGGCCTGTGGCCCCACTGACCCCAATCCTGGTCCCAGGCACCTGGGCCTTGTCTGGCACTGACATCGGAGGCCAAGTCAGGCAGTACATGCAGGGATCCAGAAATTAGAAAAAGAACTCTGTCTCTTTCCTGCCTCTCAGGATAGAGTGCTCAGCCAGAGCCTTCAGGATAAGGCTGAGGGGGGACTCATTAATGCTAAGTGGCTAAACAAAGCCCAAAAAGGTTCAGTGACCTGCTGTAAGTCACATAGCCAGTAAGTGGCAGAGCTGAGGTTTGAACCCAGGTCTGTTCGGCTCTGGGGCATGTGTTCTTCCGGAAACTGCTGACAGCCTCCACTTGCTGGTCACTGGCTGACTCTCCCCAGGCGCTCCCCTCCTTCTGCCCATTGCTCCTTCCAGCTCAGACCTGGCCTCTCCCCCACCACTATTCAGCCTCCTCTGGGCCACCAGCCCTCCTCCCCTTCAGTCTGCTCTCCCTGTTCTGAGGGCAGGCCTGGTCTTCTGCCTTTACCCAGGCTGTTTCCTCTACCCCAGCACTCCTTCCCTCCTCTGCATAATGGAGTCCTGCTCATCCTTCATGAATGGCCTAGATGGCCTTTCCTCTTCCAGGAAGCCCCCGACCAAGGCCCCTCCCCCTTCTGTGTCTGTTTTCCCATCAGTAAATATGAGGATTGCCTTCCGTCATCTCTAGTACTTGCCCATCTTGGACACTCTGGGATTCCTCCATCCACCTGTGGGGACCCTTTGTTCCTGTCAGTGCCCCAGACCCCTGCTGCTCTGTCCCCAACTGCATCTTATGAAAACACTCCCTGTCTAGCCTCAGCCCAGTGAGAGGAACCACTAGTCTGAACAGATGATTTGTCACTAGACAGAAGAACTGAGAGCGACGGAAGGATGCTTGCATTTTATAGGGACCTTCAGTGTCTTCTCATACTGCCTTTGGGAAGAAATGCAGCCCCTGCTGGGTTCCACACCCTGCCCTTTAGGGTAGGGAGAGAAAGCCAGGGCCTTAGTTTTAGTCTCTGAGTTTAAGCCTCTGCCCTTTGCTGAGCTTGTTTTCATCTGCATAATGGACATAATAAATCCACTAACCCAAGGGCCCTGTGGGCCTCCACTAAGATAAAACACTGGGGGGAAGGTCTGGCCCACAGGAGGCACGTGGCTGACAGACCCCTCTTCCTCCATGAGCAGCATGCCTGATGCCCACTGGAGGTTCAAGTATTTCAGAATTTATCCTAGGATTCTAAAAATCGAGTGATCTTTACATCTGTCATAATATTTAATAAAAGATTAAGTATGGCCAGGCATAGTGGTGCACACCTGTAATCCTAGCTACTCGGGAGCCTGAGGCAGGAGAATTGCTTGAACCCGGGAGGCAGAGGTTGCAGTGAGCCGAAATTGTGCCACTGCACTCCAGCCTGGGTGACAGAGCGAGACTGTTAAAAAAAAAGATTACACAAAAAGATAGGATTATTAGATTGGTTAGAGGGTCCTTCCAGTATTTAGAAGTCGAAGAAACAGAAAAAAGATACCTCCAAGAAAACAAAACAAAGCTTGGCACAGTGGCTCATGCCTGTAATCCCAGTACTTTAGAAGGCTGAGATGGGAGATTGCTTGAGCCTAGGAGTTCAAGACCACCCTGAACAACATAATGGGACTCCATTGTTACAAAAATAAAAATTAAAAAATTAGCCAGGCATGGTGGCGCATGCTCGTAGTCCCAGCTATTCAGGAGGCCAAGTGGGAGGAGCACTTGAGATGAGGGGTGGGGTCAAGGCTGCAGGGAGCCATAATCACAACCACTGCACTCCAGCCTGGGCAAGAGAGTGAGACCCCATCTCAAAAAAAAAGAAAAAGAAAACAAAACAACCCCATCATTTTGGTAACCTCTTGTTAGAAATATAGGGAAAAGTTAGAAGTACCTTTAGGTAAGAGGATTATTTAAAATTCCTGAAAGTTCAAGACAACTTCCAAGAAGGGCTGAATCGGTGGCCATGGAAGAGGCTGCGGCTGCCAGGCTAGGGGTCATGGGGTGTGGGGAGGTGGTGACTAAGGCATGCACTGACCTCCTTCCCACCCCCACAACAGGCAGTGCAACAAGACATCCAACGGCAGTGACAGCTGCGACCTTATGTGCTGCGGGCGTGGCTACAACCCCTACACAGACCGCGTGGTCGAGCGGTGCCACTGTAAGTACCACTGGTGCTGCTACGTCACCTGCCGCAGGTGTGAGCGCACTGTGGAGCGCTATGTATGCAAGTGAGGCCCTGCCCTCCACCCCACGCAGGAGTGAGGACTCTGCTCAAGGACCCACAGCAGCTGGGGCCAGGGGCCTGGAGATGCCCCATGGATCTCTGCTTGTGAATTCCAGATGCCAGGCATGGGAGGCGGCTTGTGCTCTGCCTTCACTTGGAAGCCACCAGGAACAGAAGGCCTGGCCACCCTGGAAGGAGGGCCGGGACATCAAAGGAAACCAACAAGATTAAAAATAACTTGGCAGCCTGAGGCCCTGGAGTGCCCACAGGCTGGTCTAAAGAGCGGGGCCTGGGGTTTGATGAGACTGTTACGGACTTGACCTTTCAGGGCCGCGGAGACCAGCCTCCTGGAGGGGGTCTGCCCACCTTCTTCAGAATGTTCTGCGGGACCCCCTGGCCCACCCTGGGGTCTGATCCTGTTGGGCCCGCCACATGGAACCACTAGTTTGGGTTGTAAATGTTTTCTTTGGTTTTTTGATTTTTCTTCCTTTGGGATGTGGAAGCTACAGAAATATTTATAAAACACAGCTTTTTCTTTGGGGTGGCTCTTCTCGATTCCTCTTTATATATTTTATATATATAAATATAAATATATATATATATATATAATGATCTCTATTTTAAAAACAAGCTTTCTAAGCAGCTATATGAAATAAATGCTGAGTGAGCCCAGCCTGCCCCTGCAGTTCCCGGCCTCCTCAAGTGAACTGGGCAGACCCTGGGGCTGGTGGGGGAACTCTCCGGTTTCCAGGCAAGGCGGCTCCCGATTGATGTCCTTTCTCCCCCCCCCCGCGCTTCCCCCACACCAGGCCCTGGCCCCGATCTCCCTGTAAGATCTCTTGGTCAAGGGCGCGGACAGACGTCTTGAAACATAAACCCAGCTGGCAGCGTCTTTGTTCCTCAGGGACACACATGCAGGCACAGCTCGGAGCCTGGCCATGTTGTCAGGCCTGCCTGCTAAGCTGACTTCAAGGGAGAACCCTCCCTAGGGAGCTGGGATGCAGACTTTGGGGAGGTAGTGCAGATCCAGGCTATAGCTAGCCCTGGTGGGTTTTCTGCATGACCCTGGGCAGGGCTCTCTGTCAGCCTCAGTTTCCCCATTTGTAAAATGGGGAAGGTGGAGAGGAAGGCTGGAGGTTGGGAAAGGCTTCGTGCCTGGAGGCTGGTGGCAGCAGACATGATGAGAAGTGGTTGGACTCTGGTTCTGTTTTGAAGGTGGAGCCAACAGGATTTGTTCTCTTTTTGCCTGTGGGGTGTGAGGGGAAGGAGGCCCAAGAATGACTGCTGGGGGTTTGGCTGGAGCACTTAGAAGGCTGGAGGAGCTGAATGCTGACATGAAGAGAGGCCTGGGGTTCAGATTTGGGCCGGTGGGGATTGTGATGCTGTTTATGCTCCTAGTGGAAATACTGAGTGGATGGGCAGATATTTGGGTCTGGACTTCTGGGAAGTGGCCACGGCTGGAGATCCACATTTGGGCATCATCACTAAGAAAGTGGGTGAGTAAAGAAGACCAAAGCCTGGGCCTGGGGCACTCCTGCCTTGGAGGTTGAGGAGATGAAGCTTAGAGGAGACACGGGAGACAGACGGTATGGCCAGGGAGACAGGAGGGAGGTTGGTGGTCCTGGCTATTGCCAAGGGAAGGCAGGGTGCACGGGATCACCGCAGGCACATCACTGTCCCCTGAGCTTCAGCGTCACCTCCCGCATGTGGGCAGCACCAGTAAGCAACAGATGAGCAAGTGGGGTATCCCCAGTGCCTGGCCAGGGCAGATGGCGCCGAAACAGAAGCAGTGGTTCATTACCCTGATCTTGCTGTGGCTTGCGGGGTGACCACACAAGGCAAAGGGTGTAAGAGGATGTCATCTGGATCTCTGCATGCATGGGAGAGACCCAGACTCAGTGCCACCCCTTCCCTCCCTGAAGCCAGCTGAGGACTGAGACTCTACCTGGAAGGGCTGCAGCAGAGCAGGGCCTTGCGCAGGCTCTGGAGAAGTGAAGACACGTCCACAGGGGTGGGATGGCATGGATGACCGCTCTGGGGCTGGACCAGTCCTGAGTGGGAAGAAGGAGGGCTTTTGCGGCCATTCTCCAGGCCCTGCCTGAAAGCTTGTGGTGGGGCAGGGATGATGGTTGGGTGGGGAGGGGGGTGGCCAGAGCCACAGTCACCAGCTGCAAGGAACCTCAAGATAAGTCTTCTGGCGTGTTTTGCAGATGAGGAAATTCAGAGATGGGAAAGGTCTTCCTGTGGCCACAGAGCTGATAACGGGCTGGGGGAGCTGGAGCCTCCCCGGGTGGGGCCCCTGCCAGCCTCTGTGTTGAAAACCCCCAGCCTCCCTGGAAGGAGCCCCTGGAATGTGCACTCTCCAGGCCCAGGGCTTCCCTGCTTCGCAGCTCTCAGTAACCCCTCAGCCCACAAAACCAATCCCTGGTTCTTTGCCTAGAACACAAGGCCGGTCCCCATAGGCACAAGCGATTCTTCTAACAGCACTTCTTGCAACTCCCAGCTGCTCAGCCAGCCTGGCCTCTGGGCATCTGTTGATCTTCCCTGGCTGTGAGTGCTGTTTTCCCTGCTAGAATCCCACACAACCTTCACAGCCCTCTCCACAAAACCTTCCCCAGTGCTCTGTGTGGAAAGGATCTCCCCCTCTTTGGGCTCCCCACAACCCTTTGAACATTTAAAGCAGCCATCACCCTCCTTCTCAAGCTGCCAGCCAATGGCCTCTTCTGCAAAAGCCAGGTAAATGGCTGCCCCTTCCAGGAAGCCCTCCCTAACTACCCTCAGCCTGGACCAAGGGCCTCCGCTGGGTTCCAGCAGCCTCTGTGCTCCCTCCAGTTCTTCTCCGAGCCAAGGTGTTGTAGAGGCCTGTGTTGTGTCATATCATCTGTCTCCCCCATGTGTCTATAGCCTTTTCGTGAACTGGGACCAGCCCTATGCACCCATGGGCCCTGGAATCTGGGGGGCAGCACAACAGGGGTGGGTATAAAACATACCTCTGAAATGTTGGGTTTGGGAGTATTCTTTGGACCTCTGTCAGGACAAGTAAATGGGGAAACCAGACCAGGGACCCAGAATGGCTCTCAGAGACGGTGGCCACGTGAGCTAAGTGCTACCATTTATTGTGCACCTGCTGTGTGATTTTCTAAACACACTGGCCCAAGTCACCACAGCAGCCCTCCGAAGTGAGTATTGTTACCATTGACGCAGGAGGAAACTGAGGCTCTGTAAGGAAAGGCGCTCGTTCCAGCCCCCAGGAAAGCTCCCAGCACATCAGGGCTCTGAGCATAGGTGTGTCCCTGCTCATGTGTCTGTACTCCCAGCAGGTGCAGAGGAGCTATGTGGAGAGCTGAGGACTGTTTCCTGGAGGGCTGGGAGGGGAGCCCTCAAGCTCAGAGGGGGTCCCTGACTCAGCAGGCCAGTGGCCAGTCCCCACCTCTGTGACAGAGCCCTGAATCTTTCTGGCTGGCCAGGAGCTGGACACCAAGGGGCAGTGGGAGCTGGTCCCGGTGCTGCCCCTCGCCCCCAGGTCAGGACTCTAAGAATGCAACCAGCCCGAGCCCCACACCGGGGAGGTGGAGGCTCAGGCCTCCGCCAGGTGCATCACAGGGCCTCGGAGCTCTGGTAGCTCAGGATCTCATTGTATTCAGAGATGTAGAACTGTCAAATCTTGGTACCTAGGAATTGCAGAATAGAAACCCCTAAACCACTGCCTTGCAAGCCCTGTAGAAGCCCCTAGGCCAATGCCCAACCCGAAGAATTGGACTGCTGCATACTGATCTAAGGGTGTCAGCATTCTTGTCCCCAGCAGGTTTCCCTTCCCAGGCCCTGCTCCATCTCCCTTCTGTGTAAGGGGCAGCCATCCCAGACAGGGCTCTATGAGGCTTGGAGAGTCCCTGAAAGATGGAGACTCCCCAGTGATGACAGCACCAGCCACTCCGAGGCGGCTCGGAACCAAGTGTGGGAGGCTGGCTGGAGACACAGGAAAGACGGGCCTGAGGAGGAGACGAGAAGGCGGCAGAGCGGAAACAGGAACTCCTGAAAAGAGGGAGAGATTAGTTTGGTGGGAAAGGAGAGAGTGGACAGATAAGGCCCCGTGAGGAGGCCTGGCCGGGCCAGAGGAACAACCAGGGGCCCAAGCCCAGCTCTGAGCAAGCTGCTAGTCTGTGGTTCCTGAGGTTGCAGAGACCAGCCACCAGGTTACACAGACCAGGCCCCAGCACGATGCAGGCTGATCAGCCCAGAACCCAGACCCACCAGGCTGGACGGGGTAGGGGGAGTTTGGGGCTAGGAGGTAGGAGTGCTACATCTTTTCTACCTTCTTGCTGTGTGACTCCAGGCAACCACTGACCCTCTCTGGGCCTCTTCGGCAGTTGTCTTGTCCAATTCTCACAACCATTGTAAGGGATATGACCCAGTATCTCTGTTTTATTGATGAGGAAACTGAGGCTCAGAGAGCCTCAGATTTGGGCTGCATGGCTACAACGGTTGGGCTTGGTCTCAGCCTCCACAACAGGCGTCCCAGCGATGAAGTGGCCTCTGACTGAGTGGGAGTTTTGACTGGGGATGATTGGAGGGCCTTGCAAGAGAGGAACAGGGAACGATTCAAGACTGAGCAGCTCCTGGCATCTGTTGCAGGGCCTGGGAAGCATGGTCCAGGCTCAGGTGCCGGGAAGGGGCACCATCAGGATCAGGCTGTGGCTCAGCCAGCACGTTCCTGCCCTGTCCTCCCCACGTGAGCTGCTCAGCATCACCTGTGTGCCTGGCTGCCCAGGCCCCACCTGTGCGTGTGTTGGGGAAGGGGCACATGAAACTCAGGTGTCCTCTTCAGTGGACCCACAACTCTTAGTTATAGCAGAGGGGACCAGAGGCCGAAGACAGGCACAGCCCTGGGGCTTTGGGGATTTGGAGAGGAAAGCCTGCTCCTCTCTGGGTATTGGGAGTAGGGAGTGGGAAATCGGGAAGACTTCATGGAAGAGTGCCATTTGCATTGGGTCTGGAAAGTGGAGTAGGCTTTTAAGAGATGGAGAAGGAGGTGATGGGGAGGGGTGTGTGTGAGAACAGCCACAGCTGCAGGGTATGCGCAGAGGATGCCAGGAGGTGGATATGGCTGGAGCATAGGGGCCTGTGGACACCAGGGCAGCAAGGGTCCAAGCCAGGCTGCCTCAGGTTCTCCAGATGTCCAAGACCACTCCCTACAGGGTGCTAGCAGCTGGCTGGTCTGACCACTGCCTGCCTGCCAGGCCACCCGCCCGCCCGCAGAGCTGGCTGGCTCTGGGCAGAGCAATTTAACAGCTGCACGTTTAACAGGTCCCTTCACTCCCATATTCCAAATCAATATCCGCTCTGCTCCCCAGCTCGTGGCTGCTGAAGACAGTCTCCTTACTGGCCCCTTGGTCCGCATTGTCTCACCTGCTGGGCGCCAGCAGAGGGGCTGAAGGGCTGGGGTGGGGAGCCAGGGGTGGCTGATGGGGGAGGAGCAGGAGGAGGATGTGGCCGATCAGCACAAGCATCCCAGACACCCCCATTCATGCTGGCAGGTGA